TATATATATATATATATATATATATATATATATATATATATATATATATATATATATATATATATATATATATATATATATATATATATATATATATAAAATAAGTGCAACGACTCAACAAATTCCACTAGGCATCTTTATTACTATTAGTTTCGTACCACAAGATGTGGCACTCATCAGATAAATTAGCCTTATTGAGTCGTTGCACTTATTTAATTATGCTCTGGATATCCATTGAGCACTCTGCCAAATGTTTTTGTAAACAACGAAACCTAATTCTATATATATATATATATATATATATATATATATATATATATATATATATATATATATATATATATATATATATATATATATATATATATATACCTGCCTGCGTGCGTGCACATGGTGCTAAAGGGTATATATTTCGTGAGCAATATGACGGATTTTTGTGTCGTGAAACGTGATTTACATGCCAAGTCGTGAGACGTGATTGCATGCTATAGTAATTTTTGTCCGGCAAATGAAATATATTTGAGGCTGGTAGTACTTATAGAAGAAAGACTGGACGAGCGAGAAGTGTGAACGTGAAGAAGGGCATGCGCAATGCCAATGCTTTGGATGTAACAATTTTACTGCATGCATGTTTTTAGATAATTTATAGATATATCGGTTGGTTGTAAAATGTCTTTCAATGTTGAGATTTCGGTGGTAAAGTTATAGTTAAAGAGAACATACAGTAAAAATTGTCTATGGGGTTGTGAAAGGCATTAAATACTCAAGATAGAAAATAAAAGTTATAGAGTTAGGGGCCATGCAAAATTTATTTTATATGGGGACGGGGCACATACTTGTTTGAGCTGCATATAGAAACGGGGCACACATACTTTTTCTGCCTTGCAACTGCATAGAAGCGCGGCACAACTTTAGATGCCCTGCTTCTGCCTTGCAAGGTGATCAAATAACTACAAGTGAGAGGCCAGGGCGCGGGGATTCTCTTTAGGAGAAGTTCAGACCCGCTGGGGTCGCAGTGACAGACCTCCCGCACATTTCAGCGATTTCCTCCAGCTGAACATGGTAATCAACTCGACTACGGTAAGCAGAGCTGCACAAGCTTTCTTTACTGACAATAGTGCGGGCCAGCAACTTTTTCTTACCCCCATTTGAATAGATGGCGGCCATGTTGGTGTTTCCCACTCGCTATTAGGCCACATAAAAAAAAAATAGTTGGTTAACGTCCTCGTCCGCCCGCAAAAAAGGCCCCGCTCAGGATTTTTTTTATTTTTTATTTTAAAAAAACCCAACTTTTATTGATCAACGGGCTCTGATATATGTAGTATTTCTGTTGACTGTAGTCAATTGTGTTAATAAGTTGCGAAATTGCGTGCGAAAATGTCGGTATGAATCATATTTTGAAATATATAAAAAATATCTGCACTGCGCAAGAAAATCCAGTTTCGGACCTAAAACTTTGCGTTAAAAATTAGTAAAAATTAAAAAAAAAGCGCCTGCCCGCCCACTTTTTTGCAAAAGCTAGCTAAGGACGCTAACCAACTATTTTTTTATGTATATATAAATAAACGCTTAAAAAACAACAATAATTTTCATCATTTGAATAGTTTAAAAATGTATTTGGAATAGGTTTACCGTAATATTTAAGTTCCGTGTTTAAGAAATAGAAAACATACGAATCTTCTCATTTCATGGGAATATCCTGTGTCTGCAATCACGGCTTCAATTTTTAAATTGTAGAATAATTAGATACACTATCCAGTGTATATAAGATATCTATGGCTCCGGCCCGGGGTACAATAATATAGGCCCCTTAAAAATGTTTTTTAATTTTCGACTGAAAAGGTTAACTTTTAATTTCTTAGATGTGAAAGTGAAACGCCTGATTTTTCAAGCGAAATGTGTCTAACGTGACCCAAAGTCCCCCGCCCCTATCATCCCGCTCCTCGTGCAGGTTAGTGCCTAGTGGTTACTTTGGTATAAAAAAAGTTTATGTTGATAAAGTTTCACCATAAGCTTAGCACGTCAGCACGCCATATGAACCCCTTATATTAATATATGACTGATTAGCAAATATTTTGAGCAAATAAATTGCTTTGCCAAATGAATCTATATGTCCAAATATTTCCACAAAACAAAAGGATTTTAATTATCTCACCATGCACACAAACATACAAAGAAATTGATTCATTTAGCAGTCAGAATACTATAGAATATAGAAACTAGCATGAATGAACATTTCACGTTATTTGGATCAATTAACAAACCTCATCTGTATACATTCATTATTTGTTGCAAAGGGAGGCTAAATAAATTTCTTCCTCTAAAATTAGTTATGTGAGTGGGGATTTTTGGCAAAGCAGGGTCTTGACAAAGTATTTATGGTATGATATCTTACACAATACAACCTATAATTTGCTGAATATCTATCATTTTTAATTACCATGCACTCAGCAATTGAAGGCTTTGATAAACTCTGTGAATCATTGAGTATTCCAAAAAATATCCACACTTCCCCTATCATCTAATGCCTGAGCTCAATAAATCCATGATAATATAAACTTAAGAAATATGTGTAAATTAAGCGGCAGGTACAAAACGCAGGTTGCAGGTTCAAGGTTGGAATTTCGCAGGTTGGGAATTTTGCAGGTTGGAATTTTGCAGGTTGGGGATTTTGCAGGTTGGAATTTTGCAGGTTGCCAGGAATTTTGCAGGTTGATGATGCAAACTTAAAATTACACCACTATAAAGTATTCTAGTATATTTTTTTAATTGTGTACTTATTGCAGTCTGACTCCTTGTCAGCACTTTTGATATCAGCCTATCCTGCTACCATGTTCCTAACTTCTGCTCTAAGGAGTGGCCATCACCCTTGTGAAAACATTCAAAATGACCAGATTGGCTTGGACCTTCAGGGGGATGGATGTTTCAATTGTTGCGAGGAGCCTACATGACGTGGTGGCAGTTCAGAAAATGCCTGAATGAGGTGTCTCTCCTCTGCACCCACCATTACTCGAGAGTTAGTTAACTTTTAACAACATTCTGGTATAAATGCCGCCAGGTCATGTAGGCACCTCACAACAATCAAAACATTTGTCTCCCTGTAGGTCCAAGCTAATCTGGTCATTTTTAATGTTTTTACGGGGGTGATGGCCACTAGCCTTAGAGCAGAGGCTAAGAACATGGCAACAGGGTAGGCTGATTAGTTGATATCAAAAGCGCCGACAAGGAGTCAGACTACAATAAATGCACAACTAAGTTATACTATAGAATACTAAAAAAGTGGTGTAATTTTAAGTTTGCATTATCAACCTGCAAAGTTCCTGGCAACCTGCAAAATTCCAACCTGCAAAATACCCAACCTGCAAAATTCCAACCTGCAAAATTCCAACCTGCAAAATTCCAACCTGCAAAATTCCAACCTGCAAAATTCCAACCTGCAAAATTCCCAACCTGCAAAATTCCAACCTGCAACCTGCGTTTTGTACCTGCCGGTAAATTAAGTGCTCTGTGTAAAACCAATAAATTGAAAAATAGTTTCATACAATAATTCAAGTAAATATATTTTTATGTTCTATAATAAGTATCCAACTCATTGACACCAAATGCCTAATAATTGTAATAAAATCCATCTGCCGCCTGAGTGCATAAACAGATGACTTTGCTGAGCCATATTTTTGGTTTTGTGCATGCCAAGTCCAAATAACTCAGATGCCTGTCTAAATTATTTGAATCTTGCATATTTGTTCACAAACCACAGCTACTGTAACTAGTTAACTCATTGCAGTACTCTCCCCTTGTGGAGAAAAACCATCTGGCATTAGACAGAGTACCTCATGCCCCTTATAGAGTTAAGGACATTTGTTCAACAGCTTACCTGCAGTGTATTTCTGTGTAGTCAAAAAAATATCTGTAGAGGCAGCAATACAGTAGCAGCATTGGATTTCTCATTAAAAAGTCTACTCAAATTTAATAAGGATACAGTAAAACATAAGCTTCTTGAATACCTATTTTTGTAGAAATCATGTTGTGTACAGTGATGGCATCTCATATGATTGTATTATTAAATTGGAGTACTTCAGAAATCATTAAATGCCTGGGATTATTGCATCCTATTGGCTAAAATCTACCACCAATCGATTCCTCATGAGGTATTTATTTATTTATTCGTCTTATCAGATTTTCATTGAAACTATTCACCTATAACATTGAAACTAGCCAAGAAAATTCCTTATATTATGCGTCAAAAATTCCTTATATTATACTATTTCCAAATTTTGAATGCTGCACTTGGAATCTGGGTTTTTCTCTAAAATAATTGTTACATTTGAAGGTATTTTTCATTTTATGCAAATTAATTTTCAGGAGGTTGATATGTTTGGCAATACATGTATTAACCCACTGAGTGGCAGCACTCTCCCCCTGACAAGTAAAATTGTCTGGCATTAGACAGAGTAAATAACAAAGTGGGGCGCATCTGGCTGGGTGCATTGCGCCACTTAAAGGTTTGAAAAAGAATTCATTAACTATCGAATTGTATATGTTGCATGACAACAGAGTAAATAGTTCCAGAGATAATCAAGTAGTATGCACTCAATTCATATATGCACTTTATGCCATCGCAAAATGGGTTAACATGTATTAATTCCTCCATGATGGAGGTGTGGATGTTTTCTCAAATTAGCATTATTCAATCAGCATGAAGCAACTTAAACATGATTAACTGCATGATCAGCATAAAAATGTCCATTACTGTTTAAATTATTTGTAACTTTATAGTTGCAAAAGAATGATGGTATACTTTTTACCTGAAATTGTGTCATAGACAGCTTCCACTTTTGTTTTTCCTGATAAAGTCCTAGCTCTTGGCACAGGTATAGGTTTTCTATTTTTCTCACTTCCTGATGGTTCAGGTGCAGATAGTGTGGGCAGTAAGGGTGCTTTCTGGAAATTTTCCGCATTACCATATATGTTTTCACTAAATTCCGGAATCTCTACAGTTGGTACACAATCGAAGATTGATTTCTTTTCTGCTGCAGTTTCACTTTTTTTCTCAACTTGCTCTGCAATCTGATTTGTAAACAACTCATTCTCATAAATGACATCATCATGAGCTTTCACAGTTTGATCAATACTACCTACACTTCTTCGTGGTTGTGGAACAAACTCTGCAGCTTCACTATGTGGTATATGCATCGAAAGTGGTTGATATTTGTTTCTACGTGGTGGTTTTGCAGGTGCTATTTTCTTTTTTGGTGTTGCAGTATTTTCTTTAGGTGTCAAATCTGATGGCTTACTCTCATGCAGAGCTGAGCTTGGTTGTATTGTTTCTGGTACTGCATTTGCTATGTCTGTGCTTGCAATATTAACACACTTATGTGGTTCTATTTCTACAGGATCCTCTAGGTCAGCACGTGGTGGGATAGGAGGTGGCCCAGGTATATTTGTGCTGCTATCAGGCTGTTTAACCTCTTCATTAATTTGCTTATTTTGCTCATCATTATTAATATTAAATTTTCCAGCTGTATTAATATCCAAGTTAGCATTATTATCGACATGTTCCATTTGATTATTTGGTGCCGGTTGAACAGGGCTCAAAGGTAAGGGTTCCCCTTCACTTGCCTCCCAAATAGCCTCGTATTCTGAAATTTCATTGCCAGGTGGAAGCCCTGGCGAGAGAATGGTTTCACTATTTGTACTTTCTTGTATTGTATCTCCCCCATGATTGGTATTCTCAGCAGGCTTTATCTTTTCAGTTTGTAATATATTTGAGTCGGGATTTGTGGAGTTGGACACCTCAAGGTTCAAATTGCCGTGACTAAATTCAGCAGATACATTCGAATTTTCGCCTTCTATGGCGCTGTCGATATTTACTTCCTGTTCGGCCATATTTCTGGCAGGCGGAGCTGGTTTCGGTTTCTTACCCTTTTTCGGAGGCAACACTGGAGGAAGTTCTACGTTATCCTGTGATTGAACATTAGTAGAAATAGTCTGTTGTTCTTTTGCTTCGCTTGGATTCTTTGGTTTCGAGAGATCTTGTGATGATAATCCCCACTTGTCTGCAAGCTTCTGACACGACACGAGTAATCGCCTTCGATGTCCGATTTTCACAACCCCTAATGCATCAAGTGCCGCTTCATCAATGGTACAACACTCTAAAGGTGATTCAAAGCCATTTTCATGAAATGAATCTCGATATTGGGATAATTTGACATCGTTTGTGAGCCAATCCGTAAGGTCGAAAGACTCGCCTCCATCTTGCTTCCTTGTATTAGATTCATTCATCATATCCTTTGACGTCGCAATAATATTTAAGTAAGGAATTCATAGCTATATTTGACGATAAACATTGTGTTGACTTTCTCTGTTTATGCACTCTGATGTCTACTGCTCGTTATAAAATACTTTCCCTTATTGACCATAATTGTTACATCACAGTTTTATACCCACAAGTCGCAAATCATAACAACAATGTTACAAAACACTGAGAATATAACATATCATTGATCGCGCATACTGTTGAGACTAGTGCCTAATTTGATCGAGAATGCATCGATACATTCTCGTCGATATTGATCGGAAATTATTTCAAGCATTCATGAATGACATGAATAATTGACATGAAAGTGCAACACCCACGAACACATATTAAAGAAGTCTTTTCAAAGGTCTTTCATCAGAAATATTTTTAAAACAATTATTTAGCACCAACGAGGTGGGTGGCACCGAGTGCCATATCAGCCATTTACGACGACAGTGAGCAGAATAAGACATTAACTCCTATAACACATTCAAAAAAAACAAATTAAAGAATCATATTTTTACAGAAACCAGTTGACAGAAACCATAACTCATAAGACAACTAATTATGAACTACCCCAAAACATATAAATCATTTGCAATTATAGTATATTTGGCATGCTTTAATTGGCAATTGCTAGATAGTATACTTCAAAATAAGATTTCCGTTTTTATTCTATTCATAATAAGATAGGGTTAGGTTAGGGTTTAGGTTAGGGTTAGGTTGGGGTTAGGGTTAGGTTTAGTATTAGGGTTAGGGTTTAGTTTTGCCGTAGGATAGTTTTTTCTACGTTATAAAAACGGAAACCTTATTTTGAAGTATACTATCTAGCAATCACCATGCTTAATTACCTAGTTGGACTGGTGACCAAGACCAACAATTATCAGTTTCAAAAGTCTTGGGACGGATGCTACGGCAAAACCTTTGAATTTCAACAAACATCAATCCCCCCCCCCCCCCCCGCCCCCTGTTCAATGGTGTGTCCCATTTCTCGTCAGGTTTGATGTGTTTTGGTTGAAGCAACATTGATTGGGGTGTGGGGAGGGGAGTGGTATTGTGTGTAAAAACTGTAATGATCCACTTACAAGCTAAATCTACATGTGTCCCAACAACTTCTGAAAGTGATTGAAGGACCAAGACCCGTTTCACTTTCATACACATACTGAAGACCCGTTATGTCACCCGTACTTCATATGTGCCGACTTCAATTCAAAAATTAGCTACGGTACAAGTTCGACATTTGAACCAAATTACGTTCGGCAACTCAAGGCAAAAGAATACGTACTGAATTCACGCAAATGCCGTACTAAATTGATTGAATTCGGAACCGGTGAAGTACGGCGTATGAAACGGCCCAACTAGTAGCTGGTAATGCCAGAGTACTCACTTTTATGGAACAGGTCATGTAAAGTGCGACCTATTAGGTTACGACCTGTAACAGTCGTCACAGGGTGAAGTGCTATCCATGAGCGGATTTACTGGCGGTAGGGGGGTTAACACCCCTAGAATCTCCTTAACCCCTCTAATAAAGTGTTCAACCCACCAAAATTTCGCTTCACCCCTCCTAGTTTGTGTGAAAGGCTTTAACCCAAACGTCCAACCCCTGCCGAAGTTCACTGAGTGGTGCCGCTTTACCCCTCCTTTTAAATAAATGAAAATCCACCTTTGGTGCTATCCCAAAGGACAGCAATTCCCTGCCATTATTTATTTCAATTTCTTTCAAAATGAGTTAGTTACAGTTACAGAAGCATAATATATATATAATATAAATGTTCTCGAGTGACGGATATATCATAATTTCCAGACAGCACGCAAGCAGAAAACTTTGCCTGCCGTGGCTGGGTTTCGAACCATTTATCATTGAAATGAATATAACTGGGACGCTACCTCCAACCGCATATTTGAGCATGAAGCCAAACTTGAAGGCCTGATCCCAGTCGTTTCACGCATGCAAAGAGCGCTCAATCAGTCAATCATGATATAAACATGCGGGTCTTGAGATTTAGCCTGCTCGCAGCCCCCACCCGAAAATTTGAAACGTAAACGTTTCGGGCTGCGAGCAGGCTACGAGTGACCGCGCCGCCAGTTATTCTCCATGCAGATCGTTCGGCCGCGCGTCCGACACCTAATTAGACTATCCCTTTAAGGCCCTGTCACACTATTGCGTATGAGAGAAACGTATGAGAAGCGTATGAAAATTAATGAAATAATTTTCATACGCACAAAAATCCTTTGAAATGCCAGCGTATGATCACCGTACATCTAGCGTACCTCTAGCGTATATTCAGCGTGTGCCTAGAGCATATGCTTATCGTATAAAGCATACGTCCGAATACGCACAAAATCAGTTTTGAACATGCTCAAAAAAATGTTTCTGCTTCGCCGTATGCCAGCGTATGCCACCGTATGCGATCGTGCTTGAAACGTATACAACATATGCCTAACGTACCCCTAGCGCATGTCAGCGTATACCGGCGTATGAGTGATATTTTTCATACGCTGGCATACGTTAGTACGATACACAATAGTGTGACAGGGCCTTTACAGGTTAGTGCATGGCATTCCCATAAAATCTGAGTCGTTCATTTATATATAGAGAGCTGTAAAGCTTGACCGTCAGTTTTTATAGAATTGAACTGAATTTATTTAACAATAGGCTTTACAACCAAATAAAGTTTAAATACACCTAGTTTAAGGCCCTGTTGCGTTCCCTGTCACGTACGCAATTGCATATCGTACTAGCGTATGCTAGCGTATGAAAAATATCACTCATACGCTGGTATACGCTGACATACGCTAGGGGTAAGTTAGGCATAGGTTGTATACGTTTCAAGCACGATCGCATACGGCGAGGTCCGGCGAGACAGAAATATTTTTAAGCATGCTTAAAAATGTTGTGCGTATCCGTACGGTTTATATGATAAGCATACTCAAGCCAAACGCTGAATACGCTATAGAGGTACAGTACTGCCAAGAAATAACTTGCCCCGCGTCTGCCCGCGTCCTGCCTCCAGAGCGCCCGCGTCTTGCGTCCACTCTGCCCGCGTACTGCCTCCAGAGCGCCCGCGTCTGGCCTCCAGTTAAAAATTGCGTCCGCTTGGACGCAGTCATCGTAACATAATCGGAAAAACGAACTTATATTTGCATCATACTCGTAGTTTGTCGTGAGAATACAGATCAGTGTCACTGATAGGAGAAGCAAAGAATAAAAAGTTGAATCCGAAAACGAGTTTCATTGAACCTAAGCGTTACATTTAGAGTATTTAGTATAACCATTTTATAATGTTATACGTTATACTACATGCAGTAAGCGTAGTGCTTTCACAATGCAATCATGCGTACTTGAGTGGCGATTGAAGCGTATATATGACTGTATACTGGAGCGTATAAAATAGACATAAACTATATATAAATATAATATAGACACATATACTAAACTCAGTGAGATCACGACTACAACGAGTATTTATAATATAGCATTTGTAAATTCTGAACGCTGATTGGCTAAGAGCCGTGTTGATATAACTCAATGTCAACACGGAAACGTTGGAAAATTTCTTTCTTTATATTTCTTTGTGCTATATTATAAAACAAATATAAAACTTTCCGTATTGATATATAGTTATATCAACACTCGTGGAAATTGGGAAAACTCGAAATTTTGTGAAAACACTCCGCCTTTCGGGCGTCGTGTTTTCACACAATTTCTCGGTTTTCCCAATTTCCACTCGTGTTGATATAACTGTATATCAGCACGGAAAATGTTTTATATTTGTTAAATATCACGCAACACATTCATTTACTACTCAAATTCTGACTTACCTCGTAGAAGATTGCCGATTAGTAATTGATATGCAATTCTGTATTTGAATAATGTTATGTCTCCGTAACTCGTCAGTATATTAAAACGAAGTCAGATGGTCGCTCATTTACAATATATATAATAGTGGTTTTGATTTTTCATTTAAAATACCATGATTACTACGAGCCACTATATAACTTTATTTACAGCAACAAGTTTTTGTTGTTTTTCCAAAACAAAGTAAATGCACATGATGATATGTCATATAAATTGATAATTACCATATAATTTCTGGATAAACGACTTCTCTTAATCCCTTATATTAATGGAATACCTTACATGTCCAGGAAACAGTCTTTGTGTTTCAACACGGTTCAATGACTGTGACTCATCGCTTGATTTTCAAATTTGCAGTATAATTCGCTAACGGCTGAAGTGAAGAGCTCAGACTAATATCACTCGATCCGTATTACTATCAGACTAATAAAATGAGGTATCGATCGCTTACTCGTCAACCCGGCAAAATGTATGTTGGGTTTCTTCGAAGAAGATCAATAAAACCATACGTGCATTAATAGAATACTGGGTTTAGAACAAGAATACTGGGTTTAAACCAAACGTTATACGAAGGTGCGAAAGTAGAGATCAAATACGAACAGGAACTTTACGAAGCACAAATTCTGAAAATTCACGGTAAGTTTAATATTAGAAATATAAAAATCTAGGTCTGCAACGCTTGTGTATAAGCATAAAAATACGGAAGCCCAGAAGTGTAATTGCTATTTCCTATTTCCGTGTTGAAAAAGTGGGTTCGCTGGCGACTATTTGGTTTGCTGGCGGGCTATTTCCTATTACTATTACCGTGTTTGCTATTGCTGTGTTCGCTCGCGCGCTATTTCCTATTACCTATTACCGTGTTTGCTATTTCTGTGTTCGCTCGCGCGCTATTTCCTATTACCGAGTTTGCTATTGCTGTGTTCCCTATTTCCTATTATCTATTACCGAGTTTCCTATTACCGTGTTTCCTATTACCGTGTTTCCTATTACCTATTAGGGACGGACCATTAGAACAGTGATGGGGAGGGTGGGGAAAAAACAGAAAAAAAATCCATGCAAACAAAAAAGGTTTGAAAAAAAATACATGCAAACAGACTTGTTTAAAAAAAAACAACAAACAGAACAACAATAGAACTTTAATTTTAAATGTACATCAGACAAAATTGAACTAAATCTTTGGAATATTTCAGAATATAAATATATCAAAATATATAATATATTAATATGCAATTTCTTTCAATGTTAACAGTAACTCTTATGTAGTTTTATTATATACTATCAAAATATTTTCTATTGTATTTAATAATTAATTCTCATTCACACTGCCACTGTCCTCAGTGGCGTAACTACTATGGGCTCGGACTGGGAGAATCCGGGGGCCACCAACCCCAATGGGCCCGCAAATGGGGGGCCCCAGGCTCAGGCTATAGAGCAAAAACATTGGCCAAGGGCCTCTGATATGTTACAATGGCGTTTTCTGACCATCAGAATTCTGTAAAATCTCTCCCAAAAGTCCGGGAAATGGTATTTCAGAGAATTTAGATTCAAAAATTTTCCGGGTCAGCATGCTCTGGACCCCTAGAAAACTTGTCCATATATGGTGCTTAAAGATATAATTTTGCAGTGTGTATTAAAGGGATATTTTTTGTCAAGAGAACAGTTTCGTTAACATTTGTATAGTTGTATTGGAAAAAAAATTGCATGCGAGAAGACATATTTAAAAAAAACATGCATACACAGCTGACAACCTGGAAAAAAAATGCAAACAAAAAAAATTTACCCCCCCCCATCACTTTTCTAATGGTCCGTCCCTTACCTATTACCGTGTTTCCTATTTCCTATTACCTATTACCGTGTTTCCTATTTCCTATTACCGTGTTTCCTATTACCTATTACCGTGTTTCCTATTTCCTATTACCTATTACCTATTACCTATTACCGTGTTTGCTATTGCTGTGTTCGCTCGCGGGTTATTTCCTTTTAGGGGCGGACCATTAGAAAATGGGGGAGGGGGGGGTGGCAATTTTTTCGGGCAGGATATTTTTTTTTGCAACAACGTTGTGCAAGATTTTTTTTTCAGCCATGCTTGTGTTGCACGATTTTTTTTTAAAGGAATGTGAACTATAATTTATTAATATTATACAGCCCTATTTATATTACCATTATATATATTGTTTACTGAATATATAATTACATTACATACACACAATACGAGATATAGACGTTTATTAAACTGATAAATACAGACAATGTGATAGAAGAAACCCTTCCGGAGTGGCTGGCTGGCCTTGGCATCTGGCAAGATAGTTTCGCTCCCACAACCCGTCGTAATAAAACCAAGTGCCGTTTACTTGAAATGCACCACGGTAATGGCCACTAGGCTTCCAAAATGTTAGTCCGCAAAGAATGTACCTAGATATTAATAAAAAATACATGAAAACCTGCCGGATATAGTTGGTATTTTATAATAAGTCAAGATGAAAAAAGGCTTTTGTACCTCCGTTGAATGAATTGAAGTTCACCAGGCAGCTGCGACATGCTATGAATTATACCTTTGCGGGAAAAGAGATCCAAGGAAATGAATAGAAAAGGGGGAGCACTCTGTGGAAATTCTCGTCGTGAGTTCTGCCTTTTACCGTTGCAGTACGCTTGCGGTTTCTGGCTGTAAAAGATATATATTATTAACAGTACAAAACATGTAATATTAGGACCTGTTCATAATAGTATATAAAGCTCACATATAGTTTTATATTAATATCTTATTAATAACACCGGATGCATATCGCATGCACTTACATTACATGTCCTGTTGAATGATTGAATTGTGTGGTTAAGCTCCAGTACACATCAGCATTCGGCGGTGTAAGACTGGGTAACAATCGGCCGCATGTCGTTTTGATTTTTTCCGTTTCTAGCCATTCTTTCAGGGCTGTCTGTATAACTGTGTGTGCTGGGAGGGCTGCGGCAACGCTATAAGAGAATTTGACTTTATTCTAACAAAAAAGTTTTTCATATACACTTTATAGTTTTGAAGGTATTACTTTCATGGAAAAATACATGAAATATTCAGAATATACTTGTATGTTCTTTATTACCTCAAGCAGATCCCTGTGGAGTTAACATCAAGATGGGGTGATGGACAATGTGGGGAAGAGCAATGACTCCGAAAACACGACTGAAATGAGCGACTCAGTCGTGAAACAAATAAGTCCTCTTCGTTTCCCCAAACGTCTATTCGTGCATTGTTACGGAAATCAAAACGTCCCCCGAATTGCTGTAACCACCAGAACTTTCCTTCGCCGAAATTACCGTTGTCAAATGAATCAAAAACCTTCATAAGCACGCTCGCATACGCCTCCGTGGATTGGGTTAGCTCAAGTCCAAAAGCAGGGCTCGTCTTGTGTTGACTATATAAAATCACTAAAAAGTTGTCAATGGGGCACGTGTTAATCAATGTTCTTATACCATACAATGGTATATTTACGGATCCACCCCAAGGAGGTACATTTATAAGGACAGGTTATTTTAAGACAGTACAACTGAATATTTTAGACTGAGATGTGTATGTTTAATATAACTACAGTCTACATTATGTATAATTTTTTACGTTTATATATTTCCATTGATTTACTATTCTCTGAGGTTTATAACTTTACCTAAATATATGTTGGTCTAATAACTTGCAAGATATTTTTTTCCCACGCTGGGTTTCTGCAAGATTTTTTTCCCCTCTGAACTGACCTTGCACGATTTTTTTTTCTGAAATTGCCACCCCCCCTCCCCCATTTTCTAATGGTCCGCCCCTAAAGATACTATATTGCCCGGTTTCGCTTCGTATCTCATGCAGACTCAAGTTTATATCTGATAAAACACCGCTGCATGCTCATATTTTAAAGTAGTACATAAAAAAGTATTTAAATACAAAAATAAAGAAATATGTTTTGAATGGGCACAGTCACAGGCTAATATAAGGCATGGTACAACATTATTCATGCACAATTTTTTATGCAAGTAGATATATCATTCCCACGCTCTATGGAGCCTTCAAAGACATGAATCAAGTGCTTAATGGACATCATTAGATTGTGTGTCACTTTAATCATTTTTACATCATTACATCTATTTTTATTACGTCGGGGACCTCGGGACTTTTTAGACATACTAATAGTGAGGATTTAGAACTGAGAAAGTCACTAATCATATCCATTATCGTTATCATGTCTTGAGGGAAAATTACGACTTAAAGTTAAAGACATCGCTAAATCAGTGGATCGAGTAAACATCCCGGCCCCATAAACGTTTGAAATATGTGATAATAATAATGATTCACTAAAGATTTAAACTAATACAATGGATTTACAACAATAACGAATTGCATGCAATTATATTACACTATCAGAAATTACATTTTTTGAATTTTGGAGAATATTAGATATCTGAAGAAACTAAGTTTGTAAAAATTTATAAAAGGTACGTAAAGCTAATCATTTAAGAATTAAGTTAAGAAAAAAGTATGATTTAGGTCACCTGTATTTGTAACTGTATGAAGGTATCTCGACGGGGCTTCACTTCTTCTCTCTCCGAGAGTTGTCAGGTAGTTATGCAGGAGGCCAATAATTCGCAGGCTCCTCCTTTGCATGCGTTCCAATTCATCCTTTAAATAATGTGGCAACCGCCCCATTCCAGCGAACAGTATTCAAGTATAGGTCTGATTTTGGTTAAGTAGACTGTTAAACTGACCCACTTCAACTGGTATAAGTTCGCTCTTGTGCATTGTCTTAGGCAATATACTGAGATTTTTAGATGCTTTACGAGTGGTCTTTTCAACATGTTTGTTCCATTTCAAATCCTTTTGAAACCATATTACAGATTAATTTAAAAGATTCAGATTCGAATTTGGACCAAATTGATTTGGTATTGCCGGTTAAATTCATCCGTGTCTCGTACCCAGTCGCTTTATGTGAATTCAGGGGGAGGAGGTGTGTGGAGGCGGGGCGGGATGCATATATCTCTTTCCAAACCGCTGGCTATAAAAATGCTACTGATATGTACAGCAATTAACTAAGAGCCTGAAGAAAACGCAGTGTGTTCATTGAAATTAGGTACTCAGTCTCTGGGTAACAAGACAACAAATATGATGAGATGGTCACCATATGGTCAACAAAAGGATCTGGATGTGTACGTGTTATTACCAATAAAAACAAACATATGGGTGCATGTGTTATTATCCCTCAAAGCTCGGATGATGTTGCGATGTAAGCAACGAAACATTAGCAACAGACCTTCATATTTTCTCTATAAATTGTCTGCTGCACATTAATATTCATTTTCAAATTACGTTTTCCGCCTAGTATCTCTATATCGCTACAACAGTACTTATTTATTAAATATAAAAAATAATTATAGTAATTAAGATTTAATACTTGCATATTTTGTGATTCTCAGAAATCTTGTTGTAATTAAACTATTGTATATTCATCAATACTTCGGCAGCTTGGCTGGCATATTATATACTATATATTGTCTAAGTACAGAATGGAATTCCCAGTTACCATATATTATAGTTTCCAATATACACAACAGACATGCATATTTTCTTTCATTACTCAATATGATTAACACTCGTTAAGAGGATTAATGTCGCAAGTTCATTTTAGACATATTTACTTTAGCAAGGTCGGTGACGTTTTACGTCATTGACTCATTTTGAAAAAAGAGTGGTTCTATCGAGAACTCTTTGGTTTCTTCTACATTGCGGTAGAATATTATTATTATTGACTCAAGAAGACAGCATATTATAAGGAAATCGTTCGTCACCAAGTTGCTATTAGATATACAGATCAATTACCTGCAAATTTTGGAATCAAGTGACAATTGGATTCAAGCAACGAAACAGGCAAGCTAGTTTTGGTATTAAACTATAAAAGCTCTGATAAAGGTATGCTGTTTTTCCTATCTCCTATACTAGTCTATAATTTTATCTACCGTATCAGTTATATATCGTTATACACTTGTGTGCGATACACTTTATAATATTTTTATGCCTATATATGCCTTGAGTGATCGACTGCGTGCATGTTATTGTTTAATAGTGAGTGTTTTAAATATGGAGAAATGTTCTCCGGCTGTCAGCTTCTTAGCCTGTGCACAGTCTCATGCGCGCAAGCAAGATCTCGCCTGTTTCAAGATCTCACCGGTTTTCTATATAATAGCCCTTATACAATATAAATTCAAAATAGTCATGACAGTCATAATGAACTCAAAAGTGTCGTTCGTGGGTCAAATTATAATTACACTCTTTTCCAGTGGCCATGTAGTTGTGAGTGGTCATATAATTGCGAGTTTTTCGATAAAAAGCACGTACACTACTTGATATACCTCCACTTTCGCACGGACATTGCCTTATATATAGAGTAATGACTAATGGTTACCATGATGCACTGTCCACTGATGTTGCAATGTTTTATTAGAAATTCGAGAATATATAACTCTCGCATAAATTGCGCGCGATTTAGCGCATTTCTTACATTAAAACATTGTCCGTCATCAATTAGGTTTTTATTATACATACCAGATATTATGGGTTTGAGGCCTCGAAGCTATATATGGCGATGCGAATCCTGAAACTTATTTATTTCATCTTTAATCTGCAATCGATTATTGCACTACAACGATACAATAATTGTTCCTTTCTTAAGTGAAGAAGAAAGCGAGAAAAATATTTTCGTTTTTTCGAAGATTTTCTGTTGCACGCACATTCAACATGAAACAACTAAACTCAGTGGGATTCATTATAGGTACTAAACTTTACAGTGCGTGTGTCAAACCGAATTTAATCCGTACATCAATACCAATTTCAGTATAGATGACATAAAAAAAAACACAAGCATTCGGTTAGGAACAAACTAATAATGATAGCCTACTTAATATAATGAGTTTCGGCAAAAATTGTCAGAACATCATAACTATATATTTTGCAAATAGAGTCATAATTGTTTTGTCTTGCATGGCCATATTCGTAAAAATATCTTAATAATTAAATGAAAAGAACGAAAAATTTATTTTATAAACTAGTGAGTAGTGATTTATAATTTAACTATATATAGATTGCTCAGCTTTGTATTAATGCTGCATTACATTAAATAGCCGTCGTTCGTCCTCATACAATCTCGTTTTTAATAGATCACAATGTTTATACCGAGTCTATCACTGTATGAAACCGGTATAATAGCCTGTAATAGCCTGACGATATTCAGTTCAAATTCTTGGACTGTAAAGACGGAAGATATTTTTCAAAACCAATTTGTTTTACCTATAATACATTTTCTAGTTTAACAGTTAACCATGCAATTGCACCTTTTTAAATGGATCTGGCAGTCGCGAAACATGAAACAACAATAAAAAATTGAAAATTAAAATACAATTACATTTTCAGTTTTTTGAAAAGTCTTAATTTTCCATTTTCTCCATCTAATAATAAAATATAATAATAGGTAATATCTGTAACTGTAACCCTATCAATTGTGATACATATTTAACGCATGTAATAGGGTAATAGGTTAAGTGTTACTTAGTTGCTCATCTAAACTTATCAATATCAAAGAGGTTAGGCAAGTTTTACTTCTGTTTTGGAGAAAGACATCAAATTCTAAGAATCCTAAATTTCCAGATTGAGATTAGGTTTTCTATTATACGAAAATGAGCTTCGCGTTGTTTGGTTTAAGGTGCGCCAAGCTTGCATGGTTAATTCAATACCTGTCACTGTTTGATTTTATAGTAGGCATTTCAAGACATTGTGCGAATATTTTACGTTTTAATCGTATTTATAATAAAATAAACTGTATATACCAAATGACAAAATCAGCAAGACGTTTTTAGTCAGTTTCAATCTCAATGTGAAATGTAACTTTTTTGGGTTAGGTTTCAATGTTTAGACCACGTATATAGCTGCGTTTTGTGTAAAGAGAACTTTGCGTGAGTAATATAGCTCATATATAATCCCCTTGTTATATTTCCGAACTTCAACTACTGTACATATATGGTTAATATGGTTAATATGACAAGTATCTTTTGTGCGTATCCAGATTGCAAGAGACAACAAAATATCACTTGTCTGGTTTATGGTCGAGTTTAAAAATACGTCAAGCGTAATTTTGATTTATTTTGACCGGCATTTTTCGATCTGTCACTCGAAGAAGATATTTGAAAGCAAGAAAAATAAGTATCCAGGCCAATGTCTTGAAAACGGTAGTAGTCCGAAAAGGGAGTAGTGACTACATTACTAGTCTATTGTCGTAATCAACAGCTTGGGAATGGGCCGAATGGCGACGTCTGATGGTCCGCAAGGATTTTATACTGGGATTAGCTATGCTGAGATTAGCTAATAATAGTTTGACAGTTTAGCAGCAAAAGGCGTAGGAATGCAGTAGCACTGTCGCATTCCTAAAGGTTTTGACACAATACATGGCTATATCCGCGGTTTTGGTAATACGGTAATATCTGTAACTGAATCGAAAACCTCTATGCATGGGTTTCCTAAAAAAATCTGATTAATGGTAGTGCTTCATTCATCTGATCAATAACAGTCAATAATATCATATAGATCTATTATATAATACTATAATAATTGACCATTATTGATTGTTGTTTAACTTTTTTCCGTTATTCCCATTTTCGACGTCATGCAAACATACATGCACTTAGCAACAATCAATAAAATACCTGACTTAGCAATTAAGATACTTATAAATCAACATAGAAACATCTTTAGTTACTAAAACAACATTACTCGTCATCTATGGTTTCCTTCTTTGGATTTGATGTTTTAAGTGTTTTAAGAGGTTTTGAACGGCTAAGAAACATTACGCATGCGCAATCCATCGCTTGAAACTAAGACGTGTATGCTGTTTGTCATGTGGATCTAAATTTATTTATTTATTTATTTATTTATTTATTTACACTTTACCTCTCAGGCGTGGAACCCATTAACTGTTACTGTGTGTCCACTACATGTATTACATCGAACTAAATATCGTACGAACAGAAAACAAATAAGCTTACGTACTATAGCAAAGTTATTAACGACTATTTGGCAAACAAACAAACAAACAAACAAACAAACAAACAAACAAACAAACAAACAAACAAACAAACAAACAAACAAACAAACAAACAAACAAACAAACAAACAAACAAACAAACAAACAAACAAACAAACAAACAAACAAACAAACAAACAAACAAACAAACAAACAAACAAACAAACAAACAAACAAACAAACAAACAAACAAACAAACAAACAAACAAACAAACAAACAAACAAACAAACAAACAAACAAACAAACAAACAAAACAAACAAACAAACAAAACAAACAAACAAACAAACAAACAAACAAACAAACAAACAAACAAACAAACAAACAAACAAACAAACAAACAAACAAACAAACAAACAAACAAACAAACAAACAAACAAACAAACAAACAAACAAACAAACAAACAAACAAACAAACGGACGGACAGATATACAGTACAAAAAAACATATAAAAGGCAGAAAGAGTCATAATTAAAAATCCCCAAAAAAAGCAAGAAGGAAGAACCAGGAGACTATATGGGCAGAGTCACACTCTTCTTGTGTCTTCCATGTTCGTGCATTCTGGTAATATTCTCTCAATAGAGATTTGAAAGAAGACAGAGACAAATGTTGTGTTTCTTCGTATTTCCTTAAGCAGCACATTCCATACTCTTTTTGACCGAACTAAGTACGATCTAGCATATGTTGAAGTTCGACACAGTTGTTCCTCCAAATAACAATGGTACCATCAGCTTTAATGAGTACTGTCAGATCTTGTGGATCTTCTTAGCTGTTTCTTTTACTGTTGGTAAAACTGATCTGTCTGTGTTAGTCTTATTGTTAATAAGTTTCAATAGTTGTACCCGTGCCAGTACGAGGACTAAGTCTAAGAGGGTGGGAGTAAATATATTTGGATGAGTCGTCCTTTGTAGGGAGTGTTAAGGTCCCCACCCTGCCAACCCCTGCCCCCTCTCTGCGGCCCTGTCGATGATGCGCGTAGTGCCGAATCGGCTATCGCTCATATTCGACGAGAGTGAGTGGAATAACTGTTTTATTATATACACAAGGTCTGAATTTACAGACTTTGCTTTTCGGATATTTTCAATAATTTTCTATTTTGTTTATGTTTTTATCTTCGCTCTTTCGGCCAATTATTGTTTCAAAAATATATATTTTTAACTATTTTAAATTTTAAAAATTAATTTGCTAACCTGTAAACAATTTGAGAGAGTTTTTTCATTGTATTTTTAAACTTGTAAAGGCTATTAAAACCGAACAACTTGCTGTTTTCTCGTTCGCAAAACGTCGGAAATTCAGTTTGAGCCGCCATTTTGTTTTTCTCTACTAGCAGGATATGAGCTAATATCCTGCTAGTAGAGAACCAACCAGATTGCAGAATACCTCATATCCAGACCTTGTGTATATAATAAATATATATATATATATATATATATATATATACAGACCGTTTACAGAATTAGTGGAGCGTAACAATATACATGCATATAGCCTCGACTTCATAGTTCATAATGCTATGCTCCAGTGATTCTGCAACTGGTTTATATCTGCATGCATGTTATTTATAAACAATTTTAATATAAATGGGGTATAACAGACAATTTGATTGGCTAATTTATTGGTGATGCAATAATGCACTGTGGTTTGCCCCGCTTCATCTCTGCTTTTTAGGCAAAATATATAAACAAAGCTATAGAGCTTTTAAAATACAAACTTTATCCGAAAGCAAGAAGGAATAGGCCAAAATGTAAAATCTGTAAAATTAACCGGCTTGGTATTCGTCGAATTTGTCATTTTATCTCGACAAGTTTTGGGCAAAAGCTTGCAAAATAGCCGCGAAAAACCGAGAAAAAGATATAGGAATACCAAAAACATAGCAAAAGGCAACAACAACTGAACATAAATGATTTAGAAAGTCCCTTCAATGCTCCTGATAAAAACAGCTAAGATATGTTATAATTTTCGGCGAAAGGCAAAAAATACAATAGTGAATAATTTCAAAAATTTTAATCTGAGCAACACGACGAAACCTACTATTTAACGTCTTTCATGGCAAATCCAGCAGCCCAGATGCTGAAAAACATTAGCAATTTAGTCTGTGTATCACTGGGTTCCCCCCCCTGGCATTTTAAACAGTTTCTTCGCAACTTTAGCATCACAATTTTATAAAAAATTTATATTGTTTTTGCTCCTTCGTCCGCTTAAAAATTTAAGTGAGGGTAAAAGGACTAAAAGCATGCGCGTGACGTCACTGAATGCATGTTAGGAGAATTTTAAAGTCAATCTTTTCAGTAAAATTGCTTACTGAGAAGGCATATATTGAAGTCCCCGCACGTAATATGATATTTCAATATCCCATCATGCACTGCCCGGCAATGACATCACAGCCACTGATCTATATAGATTGCAATTGCACTGCACTGTGCCCAACGAAGGGCCTGCGGAGGAGGCGGTATACACCAACAGAGAAATTTAAGTTTTTAAGTTTTTTTCCCGCAAAGCATTGGTGGGTAATATCGCAAAAACAATGGGGGGTATTGAAGTCCCCGCCAAGCATAAATTGTTAAAGCTATCAAGATTAGAAGCAACTGAGTTCATATATTACAGTAAAAGGCCACAACTAGTGACACAAGTTTAAAAGCTGAGGTTCAAATTTTATTATAGAAAACAAGTGAATTATTGGCGTAGTGCCGTAGCTGCGCAAGTTTAAAAGGTGAGGGTTCAAAGGTTGCTTTCTGTAAGAATTATTATTCGCTTGGGTCAACAGCTTGTCAAACGGCATTTTATTTCTCAATGGTCTGTTTTACGTGTCTATTAATAGACTTGTGAGTTACGTTGTTACTATCATTTGTTGTTGGTGGCGGAGTCAATTCGTTAAATAATGAAAAGCTTTAAAGGTTAAAAAGTAACACAAGATTAAAAACTCCGTGTTTATCAAGTATCAATTATACGATTTGTCAGGTTAATCGAAACAGGAACCAAAAGACTCGGTTCACACATCAGTCAGTCAAAAACAAATAGTTAAACAAATAGAAAAAATCGAGCAAGGCTTAACACACAACGGTCACATTATAAAACGTTTGTAACAAGGGACTCATACTCTCATAGTCATTGTTCCATTATATTGAAAAGCGCCATTCCGTTCAGCCGGATGGACGCACAAGGACCACGTTACACAACTTACACGTGGTTGCTCTTTCATTTTTAAAGTACGTCCAATTTTATCAACCTTCTAAGCGTTTTAAAAGAACGCCAGAACGTGGTATTAATATTTTGTCGTATTGATATTTGTAAGCCATAAGGCATGACCAGGGGGGGGGGCGAATACCATAGGAATATCGCCCCCCCCCAGTTCCCATCCTAATAAATTCAGTACAGTTTGCTGATCAGCATCAACATGTTTAGTTATATTTTTTAGTAGTTTAACCTAAACTCTCATTTGTTTTAGCATTATGTCCATTTAAATGTAGCCATATGTAGCCATTTAAATGACAAATTACGTCCATTTAAATGTAGACATATGTTGCCATTTAAATGACAAATTACGTCCATTTAAATGTAGCCATATGTAGGCATTTAAATGACAAATTACGTCCATTTACAGTGTAGCCGTAACCATATTATATACTTGATCGTTTTGAGTGCGTGTTACCGCGTAACAATAACGTACAAAAAACTCCTCTTAATTGATATTGAACATGTATCCTATAGAAGTGCAAAGAATGTTCAATAATATAATTATATTACTATTATACATTGTGGTCACTATACGAGTCTTCTGATTGGCCAATAGCTTATAGGAAATATGGAAATCACATGCTATGCACTCATGATTTACACAGTTATCTGCTAGTAGATAACTGAGGTTTTGCATGTATAGGTCGAGCCCGTGGTATGTAATTCTAAGTATTAAGCGGCAATTTTAAATACACGAATAGAATAAGCCAAAAAACCAACATGAACGAAGGGCGTTTTAAATTAAATTATCATAAATTTTCAATTTAATTCATCTCTATTATCGGACATATAGTGTCTTATCAGTTGCATGTTTTATAACTATATAGCTAATCAGCTAATCCAGGATTTGCACGTGCGCGCGAGCAGTGCACATGTTATAAAAACTCTTCATCCAGCCGTCAACATTTCATATAACAATCATGATAAAGTGTTAAATATTTTAAATACATAAGATACTTGACGTATAGTTAGGTGATGAAAAAGTTAGTTTTGCATATTTTGGTTTCCTTATTGTTATCACCTTCCATCCATGACACTTACTGACAGAGCTCTGCTGACAGAGTGAAATATAGTCCTGAAGACGAGGTTCACCAGGCAGACTGATTTTTTTATCTCTGTTGAATAATACCCTCAAAACTGTATTATCTGCGTTCTCTGTAAGAATAATGATTAAACGTACTTGATTATTTCAATAATAGTTGCAGAGTTACATACGTTGTGTTTACAATTTCCGATGAATAATAAAATAATGTGCATATGGCGTTAAACAGAGTAACATAATCTGAAAACAGTTCCCTGGTTAACCTATAAAAATAACTCTGTTTGGGTTAACTATATTCCTGGTTAAATAATCAGACTATGTTTGGTGGTAAATAACCAGGGGTCCCTATAGTGTGTATTGTCAATTCTAAAAACGAGTTAAAGTTAACGTATATAGTTGTTGGCGCGGAAGTAAAACTTGACAAAGCTGTATGAAATGCAATGAACCCGTCAGCCGATTTAGCCGTCGTTGTGGGAGAATTGTATCATTTTTCGGATTAGTGATAACGAGATTCTTTACTGCATGCAATATCCTATACAATATATATTTCTATAGAGAATTCGCCATCCGGACACTTGCTACAACAGGTGCTAATTAGTCGATGTTTTCACGATATTTCTAAATTTGGTGTGAACTGAAGATAAATTACATTGATAATTATAGAACTTTACTGTAAAGTATCAATCAACTTGACCCAGATTTACACACATTCACTAATTTACAGTTCTTAGTATTAACTTAACACCACTTTTTAAGAGGCTATACAGACTGAGTATGGTAAGTTGTAAAACATGGAATCTGGAATCTTGGAATTTATTATATATTTATTAATATTTATATATGATATATATTATTAATATACATTAATATTATATTATGAGATATTAATAATAATAATATCTTGATAATAACATATTTTGCGTTTACATGATAAGATTCCAAGATTCCAGATTCCATGTTTTACAACTTACTTATACGGTATACTGTTGCTCATCTTTGTGCTTTTAGTAATGCCTTTGTTTATATATGACATATCATACTTTTTAAATCATGTTATTTAGATCCGTTTCTCGAGGTTATTTATTTGTCTGCATTCAGCAATGTTTATCATGATTGGTTATATAAATTTAGAATTAATTTTTGGAAAATTATAAGTTGGTTATCATATGGTGCATGCTTGCCACATGATACGGTGATAGGATATAGTTGCTGCCTACCTGCGATGAATATATTGTCTATATTTGCTGGAATCTTCAAGCATATAGCCTCATTTTGACGCAATTTTTTGACAAAATGACCTATATGGTATATAGCCGCCTTTTTTCCATCTGAACTGAGAAAATGTGAAATTTTTATGAATATATCTTATATATACTGTATAATCTACAATATAAGTTCGTTTAATTATGGTGTTAGTTCCGTTCACATAATAATACGTCATATATACGTACGTGTTAATTAAATTATTAAGGAAAACCTTCGACGGCATTAAAGGCGTGTTAATCCATAGTTACAATTGTGGAAAATAGAAAACACGTTATTAGTATAATGTTACTGTGTCGATTCATTCGATTCATTCGATTAGTCTGTCGTGCAATAGAGTATGAGGCTTATTGATAATTGTATTTAATTCTCGGATTTTATAAGTTGCAGTTCTTGTTCGGAGTGTACGTGCGGGATAATGTTTTCTTCATACCCTAAAACAAGTATCTTTCTCAACCTGCATGCGCACAGTGCATTTTCATGGGGTAAAGAAAGATGGCAATAATTAAAGACCGAACTTTATAACTCACTCTATGACAACCTACTTAGTACTCCTCCACAGGCTCTTGTTTTTGGCATATATAGATCAGTGATTGGGGAAAAAATGGGTTTTTTGATGCATGATGGGAAGGCAAAAACAATTAAGAAATTGAAGAGTATAAAGGTCACATTTTGGTAGGAACATTTTGTAAGCTTCGCTTATTTTTGTTGGCCGGGTAGTAGACTCGGGAACCTTCCCCTACATCGTCGCTCTCCTTTGACATCTTGACGTTGTTTACTTAGAACGATGGGTTTCGTAAAGCTATAGATAATCCACCTGAAAAATCACTTTAGAACAACAAGAAATGACGTTAAATCTAAAGGATATTAATATATTATTGTGATTACTAATGGTTTTACTAACTTATAAGCATCACTTTAGAACTTTTTTACATCATTCTGAAATGTCACTTCTATTTTCATCGTGGCGATAGTAATTTACATCGATCAACACTAATTAAGTATACCTTGCATGACCTTTGAGTGAATAATATTTTAAGAATATAAATGAATTTGAATTGGGTATGTTCGATGCTATTAGCCATTAAATGAACTTGGTCAACTTGATAGAAAGCCATTACAAATGCACCAATAATGACACTTTACTTTCCATACCCAGCGCAAGCAGAAAGATGTTGTCTGCCGCGGCTGCATGGGTCTTGACCCGCGACCTTCAGATTACTAGATCGACGCTCTACTAACTGAACTACACGGTCAGACGGATTTAAGACTGGAAATTATGAAATATATATATATACAGGGTGTATCAAAAAAAGTAAGACAATTTTGAAATTGTTCTCAATTCCACAATTCTGTTCATGAAATGTAATTTTTGCTATATATGGATTGCTTGAGTTTTTAAATTATGGAAAATATAAAAAATTTTGAAAATAGTAAATTTTGCTATCCAGGGAGGTGGTCAACTTTTGCTCCCCTAAAAGTGGCTTGCGCACGGAAATGACAAACGGTAGTCTTTATTTGAGTTTATGTATGAAAAGTTCGCTATTTGTTGCATTTATGATAAAATTTTGGCAGGATTTTACCGATTACAAATCCTCCTAAAAGCCTATGAAAACGTTACATTTTTCTCTGTTGGTGCTGTTCTTGCTTCATTATGAATTCATTTTTACTCCCATGAGAGTTCCATGGAATTTCCATGGAATTTGTGCTTTCGAGTTGTTTGTGCTGAAACGCATTTTCTCGTATAATACCCCGTACACTTTGAAATGGCGATGCCACAATTTACCCCGCAGCAGAGAGCTTTTATGGTATCATGCAGAGTTCCTCCGTAGCAACAACATAAACTTGGTTCGCCAAAGTTTCACGAAAGAATATCCAGATGGACGATGCGAATACGTGAAGGGCATCGTACATATATATATATATATATATACAACTAATTCAATAAAGGTTGTCCTTTGCAAACCTTAAACTCTAAAACCTCAACCTTAAACTCTAAGCGCGCAAAGCGTAATGGGAGCACTATTTAAGCAGTTTAGAAAGCATATATGGAGCCCATTTCTTAGAGACATGGTAAATATGTGCCTGCGAAAACATTTCACTCACAAACAGCTGCAATATTCAACTACAAAGCTTGAAATCAGTACTCCCATTATGCTTTGCGCGCTTAGAGTTTAAGGTTTAAGGCCTTTAGAGTTTAAGTAAATATATATATATTTTTATATATGTATATATATATATATATATATATATATATATATATATATATATATATATATATATATATATATATATATATATATATATATATATATATAGATATATATATAGATATATATATACAGGGTGTATCAAAAAAAGCGCAATCCTCGATTGAAGTGTAAATTGCTAAACAAATAATAGACGAAAACGTTAAAGTTTACATTCATTTCAAAGCGTAGCCATTCAGCTTTCTAAAAGTGGGTTGTTTCTTAAATTTGACTCATTGGTTCGCGGGTAATAATACTTTACGTTATTGCAATTGGAGATTAAAAAAATTGAGATGGAATAACAAATCGTTCTCATGAAAATAACTGATTTTTTCATTAAAACAAACAAATGTTGCATTTTATTAAATGGATTGTAACAATAAGTATAATTACGGCTTTTCTTCCACTATTTGTAACTCAGTTTGAAACTTCAAATGCGATATAATTTTGGCTTGGATCATCTAAGCTGACTCACATCAACTTGCTATAATTTCTGTTTACATTACATCGCAATTCGATGACACTCTGGCTCAGACACCAGAATGTTTTGACGATTTTTAGCATTCGTTTAGGATTTTCAAACAACCTGGTCTCTTTTAAAATACTTTTAATTTGTTCTTACGTTATGCATGATATGCATGCATAATTATTTTTTATTATAATTTTGAGTTGTCTTATACTCTTATATACAACTATAGTTCAAAAAAGGTTGTTCTTCCAAACTCTAAACTTAAACTCTAAGAACGATAAGTGCAATGGGAACGCTCTCCATTGTATCTTGGCTGTATGCACAAGGATTATAATAATAAATATTTATTCATCAAATACCAATACAGGCACATACGCATGAAATTACATATAAAAAAAGATACAAAACGTATCGTTATAATAACTATAAACGGTATAAGATTATCAAGAATGCATATTATATATGCATACTAATATCAATGTTAATGCATAATAATATTACAGTTGAATAGTTGATTTCACGAAACTTTGGCCACGCCAATTGCGAGGTTGGTTGGGAATTTGGGAACTATAAACACGAGCTCATCAGGTTGATTGGAAACCGGCCAATCAAATTCGGATGTTTCGCATCAAATTATCGAAATTCGTTATGAAATTCGGAACCATGCAAGTTCGCAGGCAAGTTCGCAAATTGCAAACGATTTTGGCGGTAAATTTTAAAAACTATAAACTTATTGTATTAAACTTATTCATTTAATAATAAATAATATCATATATAATAATAATTTGAGGTTGGAAATTGTAATAAGTTTAATACAATAAGTTTAGTTTTTAAAATTTACCGCCAAAATCGTTTGCAGTTTGCGAACTTGCTTGCGAGTTGCGAACTTGGTTCGGAATTTCATAACGAATTTCGATAATTTGATGCGAAACTTCCGAATTTGATTGGTCGGTTTCCAATCAACTTGATGATCTCGTGTTTATAGTTCCCAAATTCCCAACCAACCTCGCAATTGGCGTGGCCATGCAAAGTTTCGTGAAATCAACTGTAATGTTATTATACATATGCATATTAATATTAAAATTTATGCATTATTCAGGATTATGACAATTATCACGTCTTTCTGACTGAATAGAGACCTTACGATTTTAGGACGGCAACGCGACGGCAACGGCTACCAATACAATAGATCATTGAAAAGAATTGAGTAATTACAATAAATGAATAATTTAGACATTGTCCTCGCTCTGTTTACAACGCCAAATCACATATTTTCACGTGTTGATACAACGGCTGCATTCCAAGCCACAACAATTAAGTGCAACTTCAAACTGGGTTTAGCAGAACTCTTCCCAACCATAAAACCCATGTCTTTAACTTCTAGGACTGTATTAAATTCATACGATTGATAATATACGACGAACTATCGACTACCATTTATTTGAAGGAGTTTGTTTTGGCCGTCGCCGTCGCGTTGCCGTCCTAAAATCGTAAGGTCTCTAATATGGCAAATACTGCATGCATGTTCCCACTGCCGTTTTCGCGCTTAGAGTTTAAGCTTGAAGCTTTAAGGTTTAGACTTTTGAAGGACAACCTTTTTTTAATTATAGCTGTACATACATGCAGGTATGCCCAGAGGGAGAGAGCAAAAGGACATGCACATATGCATACTATAATATCAATGTTAATGCATAATAATATTAATGTTATTACATATGCATATATTAATATTAAAATTAATGCATGATTATAACAATTATTAAGTCTTTCTGACTGAATATGGAATTAGCTGTATACAGGTGCGCCCAGAAGGAGAGGGCAAAAGGGACAACCCTCGGGTCGATCCCAGGTATAAAAGAGGGCCGTCAAAAATAAATAAATTTTCGGGGAGAGGATTTCTCCGCGCCCCATACTGTATATACAAACAAACTAAAAATCCTTATCTAAAAAAATAAAAGATATACATCCATGTACTGTGCCAATGTGACATATATATAACACACTGTCAATGAGATCCTGAAGGGTATACATTATGCAACGTGAATTTTCTAGAGATATTTAAATCATCATGACTAGAATTAGAGTTTTCCCTGGCATATTGTATTGACAATACACAGGGACATGCATATTGTTTTATTTTTATCACTAAATTACCTTGCACATGCGTGCGTGCAGCTATATATAGTCTTCCGAAAAATCTTAATCTTGTAAGAGTAAATTGGCGACGTATCTAGAAACGTCATTTCTCATGCAAGGCAGTTTTGCAATAACACAGATAACTATATTGCTTCACACAATGTCTCCTGTTACAAACCATGCATCAAGACCTATTGAAATCTGCCAAAGTCTATTGGTCCCATTCAGTGCGCTCTATATATTTAATTATGTTATTTTACTCTGATTAACGCTAGACTTGCGATTAATTAATTAGGTAACATAATCAGTCTAAAAGCCAAGAGTGATAATGAGTACAGAAACCTTTTAAAAAAAGTCTTTAAATAAAGGGGGGGGGGGGAGATAATCCCCCTCTCTCTTAAAAAATAAAGTATTAAAACCTTGTCTGTCATAAAAGACATATTTATTAGCTCATTCTTTAATACACAATATGTAACGGCATATATATATATATATATATATATATATATATATATATATATATATATATATATATATATATATATATATATATATATATATATATATATATCTTTGAAAACAATTAGGCTTTTGTATCTTCCATATGAATAATCACGGGGTATCACAGCAAGAACATGCATGATACTTGATACTTGATAGAATTGCATGCACCATTATGGTGCTAATTCATTCACAAATTCCTCATTCCACGTAAATTTCGCAAAACAAAAAGTTCTGTTATAAAGTTTATATAATAAACACTCATAGACCATGCACATGACATCCATGCACTTGCATTCTTTGTAAAATAATAATAAGTTATAATGTTATCTAAAATTCCTTCGACTTAATATGTTTATTATCTTGCTCTGCACTTATCTTGACGGTTTGAAGTATTTTATTTTAATTTTTTTCAAGTGATTCACTTCCAGTTGCACGCAACAGATTAAAATTTCATGGAAAGTGAATTTAAAGTTCTGTTACTTTATCTCGTTGTGTGTATCAGCTATTTGCATGCTTGCATGATTTCTGTCACCATTTTATTAATTCACGGGTTTATAGTACCCGTCAGCTTCTATCTGTCCATGTCTTTCATCATGCACTTTAAATTTAACGTACTCTCTCTCAAGCACCCGTGTGTTTATCATACCTAACTGCGCCCTTTAACGTGGAACATGTTCAGGCTGGAAAGTTTGCAAATTGTGCAATCGCGATCCTGCCCATGCAGTCAGATAAGCAAGTTAAGAAAATAAAAACTATAAATACTGCATGTTAACTGCCTTCGTGTGTAACTTTATTGATTCATTTACCATTGGGTTTAAATGCACAAACCGGAATTTTGTATAGATATAGATAGATAGACAGATAGATAGATAGTTTAATAGATTTTACATGGCAGCCTAATTGGCTGAATTGCGTAAATTAACAAAACTTACATATTACAAACAAATTAAAAACAACACATGCACAATTACATACTGCATGATATACACACTATTTACATGAATTACATATACTACTTAATATATTATATATACTGCATGAGGGATTCGTGTATTTCGTGATAGAAAAAGCGCAACCCCGAGAAATTTTGGTTTTTGCGCATTACAAACTGCACATAACAATCTGGAGAGTGCTATAAGTGCAAGCATAATATTAATCGCCCTTCTTCATAAATTCTTAAATCGAAGCATTCTTAACTTATATTTGTGTGTCAGCGTATGTGAAGAGGGCACTCTATAGTATAGTTAAGCTGCATAGTCATGCACGAAATATAGTTCAGACACTGCTTACATAAATACAATTTTGTTTATAATTTGTATATATTGGATTTTGAGGATCATATGGGGATATTGGTCCATCCACGTGAGTGCACAATTGCACAAAAGAAGAGTTTCCACTCATGAACTTATAAAGAAAATTCCTGATATTTTATTTGAAAAGTTTTTAAAATTTGTAACGAGATGTGTGTTTATTCTGAATTATTTTCTTTGTGCGATAAAATCAAAAGAATTTCTCAACTTCAATTACTCATAAGTTGTTTTTGAAACATTTTTGCTCAACGTCATTAATCATTATGTATATTTGAACTGTTATAATGCAACTTGAAATAAGTCAGAGTTTTGTGCTGATTTACATCTTCGTAACATCCGTTATGTTTTTACCTCATTAATTGTTCGTTTTCTTTTGTTTGTTGGTTTTTTGTTTTGCCTGTGAGTATGGATATGTACATTAACAAAATTTACTTTGTTTCGGTTTTTTTGAGCTATATGCATGTGTATATTAACTAAATTTATGCAATAATTTTTATATGTATATACAGCAAGATCTGATCTTTCACGAGCTTGCGATCCTCTGATGTTTCAAAAAGCAGAGATTGTATCTGAGCAACTTTCCTAGATGTTTTTGTGCAGGAATTGCTTATACGCCCCCAAGATGGTGTAATATATAAGGTCTTTGAAACTTCAATGACATTCCATGTGTGTAGATTAAAATGTGATCAAATAATAAACAGTTATATTGGATGAGGTTTTTAATTATATCCCGAATTCAATAATTATTTTATTATGCCTTGCATTTTTATTAACTCTCTCGACAAACAATGATTTGTCGAACAAAAACGGCGACGTTTAGTTTTCAAAAAAAGCAGCAAAATGATTTAAAACTAGATATCACATTAACGGCTTAAAAATATTGAAAACCTCATTCACCTTATACTTAACTCTAAAGTTTCTGCTTTTTGCACAAAAACATCCACGAAAATACCGATCTTTCATATACTATGTTGTTTTTTCTTGTTCTATTTGTGTATTGAAAACTGCCGCTTGCAATACAGCGGGCTCAATCTTCGTTTTCCATATTTAGCTGTAAGGCTAGTCAGAAGACACGTAGTGACTATATACAGTACAATGCCGGTATTAATAACAATAACATGACTTAAGATATGCACTCTCTGAGCTAGTGCGTTTTTGTTTAAGTAAGAATTAATTATTTGTACTAGCTTAATATATATAAATGCATGATTATCCACTTCACAAGCACTACTCCATCATTAAAATAGTTATGAACTAAAAATCTTTTATGGTGAAAGAAATATTTATGGTGAAATTAAGAACTTGAAAGTTTCTTGCAAGCAGCACATCGTTGCAGAGAGCTGACACAAATCTTTGACATTTCCAAGTACAAGTCATTAAATTTTGACAAACAGTTGCTGTATATACAAAAAATTAAAAGGTAGAGTAATTTTATTATCCAGATTACACAAGCCGCATTACTTAAGTGCTTAATGGCCTCTGCATGGTATCAGTATATTATGGTATATTATATACTGTGATGCGTCAGCAACAACAAGACACCATCACGCCAAGGCATCATGAATTGACGAACAACTGATTATAGAAAAATAATTGCACTTGATGTAGTCTTGCTACTTGACGTCATTACTTCAGGTATATATGAATTTTCCTGTTCTACATTATGTTTTAATTTTTAAACTATTGTGTTCCCTGCATGCTGTTGAACTATTTCATAATCGGCCTCTGGCTCTGTCAAATATCGCTTACCAGCAAACAATTTCGCGAAATATAGGATGAAGCACACTCCGAATATTGACATCTTGTGAACTCAAGATTCGAATTTTGTGCACGGTCATGTTTAAATTAATAACTAATCTTATATTCTGTCAAATAGTCGACAAATTATGCATAATTATATACCTTGTGACAGTGCAGCACCCTCTGTAATTGGTATTCCACGATTAATAGCTAAACGTATAGCCATCTATAGAAGAAAGGCTTTTAGCAAACATTTTGTTAGTTAAATTATCAAGAAGTGCATGAGGCAGAAAAATGAATCATATACTGGAGCCTTGGAGACAACCTGGCCCGTGTGTACCATGCAAGTCTTGACTCATGCATGTTTTCATTTGTGTTATATGTTAATGTTCTTTTAGTTTGTTCTGAAGTTAAAATTTGTGAAAAATATGTTTACAAGAAATGACTATTATATACAAGCATAAGGTAATTAGTTTAAGATGTAATACGATACTGTATCTAAGGACACTACAATGACAATGGCGTTTCTCTTCCTATCGTTGCTTAGTTACCATCAATTTTCTTGCAAATGCACAAGCAAGTATAAATTGTAATACTGACGTCCTTGCCATCAGACATGCATGCACAGTGCAAAACGATTTATGAAATTGGCCTTTTGGCACAACTAATTCGAATAATAGCTGATTAGCCTAATAGCTAAGCTTTTCGACTAATTATTCCGAAGGTTCGATCTTTATAAGGCCCTTGCTAATATAACATTTGAGCTATTTGACATTTTGAAATCCTAACTATAAGGCAGATATTATTCTAATATTTAAATTTGCACTCGACAATTTCCATCTATACAAGATCCTTCAACTATTATTAATTCAATCGAGTGAGATGCCAACAAAATCTTGATATTTACCCATAACCTACCATGGTAGTACCCCATAGTATATATACATGAACTGGTGGTTAGAGCTCGGCAACTGGCCTCTGTAGTTCAGCTGGTTAGAGCGCTGCACCGGAATCGCAGGGCCGCAAGTTCGATTTTCAGCTTGCACGATTTTTTTTGGGTGGTGCCAGCTTGTGCTGGACCTTTTTTTTAGAATTTTCAAGATATTTTTCTTTGCTTTCCTTTTTGCACGAATTTTTTTCTTTTGTTTTCTTTTCCGCGAATTTCTTTTTGTTTTCCCCCACTCTCCCAATCACTTTTCTAATTGTCCGCCCCTACGAAATCAGTAGACACAAACGTATTGCAAAATTTGTTGGAGTATAGTACAGCACATCAGTTATCTTGTATTATTGTATTATTATATCCGGGAATTATATAAGGACTGCGCATGCAGATTTTCAGTCGTTTTCTAGTTACGTTTGTAAATTATAACCAATGATTCAATAAACGCTGCATCGTGCATGGTGCTTTAAAATCATCCCTGATCTAAAAATTAAAGACTAGTGGCTGATGAAATCATGCCGCCGGACAAATCTGCCGCAGACTCCTGGGATGATAATCTGACAAAATAATAAAAACCATCCAGATTATATTTAATCCTTTATACCGAACAAAAAAAAGATGATGCTATTGTCCGTCTGGTTGCTAATCATGGTTTATTGAATTTCCTAGACAGTCATGATTTATGTTTCAACAAAATATACAATGAATTAAAGCTATAGATAAATGCAAAATAACAATCTTATTATAACTGATAGAAAAAGTCTTCATATTTAAGAGAATCTTTTTATCTTTGGATATTCAGTGACGATGTAAGCTATATATAGAATTCATTTTATAATTTTATTATCTTCGCCTCAGGCTTGGTAACCGTGACAGCAGTTGTCAATTACTATCTCCAATTATCATTATTGGGAATTATTCGGTAACATATTTGGAAAAAATGTCTGTTGCAAATTATATATTGTATAGTTTTTTCAGCTATGAATTGAGAGAATAACTGATACAGGGTGTAAAAATAGTTTCTAAAATGTCCACTACAAACTGAAAATTCCGCAACATTTTGACAACTATATATGTTGCACTCGAAAATTTACTTTTCAGAATAATTTTGTTTTGAGATACCAGAAGATCCCAAGAATATCCCATCTTTGGGGTATTTTCAGTTTAGTTACATGCACCCTATATATAGATGGAAATATGCATCTCTTTTAATTATATGATAGTCCTATAGTTAGTCCAAAAGTTGTATTTTCTCGAGTTTTCATTGTTACAGTTTACCAGCCAGATTATTTATTAGAGTAAGCCTTTGCTGCATGGTTCAGAACTTCAGACACTTATTGCCTACGCCTACACCAAATGTGAAAACTGCTAGATGTGAACTGGTAAATAAACCGGTCCAAAAATAAAACTTTTTTATCGTCACTATTGCAGAATAAAAGAAACCAGGTGGTAGAAAATTAACCTCGCGAAAATCTGAGTTCCATAGTTGGGGAAGGGATGTCCAAAAATGTATTTTTGTTTAACAGCATGCAGCTTTGGAATGAAACGAGGGAGAGTGCGAATGGCGGAAGTTAAAATGTTACACTTTTATACGAATCATAAAGTTTTCACTCAAAAGTTACTACAAAACAACTGATATTAAAATTTGACATGTTTTCCCAAAATGCTAATGTTTGTCTGTCATTCCCAGTCCCAATAATCCAAATGCCATTTTCCCAGTCCAAAAATAGAACCCTCAAATTATATTGAGAGTTTGTCTATAAAATTGTCCTGGAAGACTGAATTCTGCTCTTTTCCGGCTCGAGGTTATTTTTCTGCTATTGCGAGTCAGTGATTCACTTAGTATGTGAGAGAAAATGACAGGTATTTATGATTTTAAACCACTTAGTTACTTAATTCATGAAGTTATTTCTAAAGAGAGCTATATATATTGAAAGCAGACTGTGCATGTTTTAAAAGTCAGCAGTCAACACAAGGTGATAATACACCTGCAGGGATATTCTTTACTGGGATTTGTGGTAATAAAATAAAAGGATGGGAAATGGGATTTGCATAAAAGCTGGCTGCGAACTGCATGATCTCTGCACAGGTCACATAATTTTAATCAGAAGCGTAAATATATACAGGCGTACAATCGTATTAAATACAGTAGTCAGTAAACACGTGCATGCACAGACCTAAAAGTAAGTTTTGATCCAAGGGTTAATTACTCAGTTAATTCTAGGATTAAGGCAGGTTTATATTTTTTTAAAATAGCAATTTTCTGGCGAAGCTGATAACGATATTAGGAAGATGTAGCGCGGACGTGGTTGACTTGTATGACCATGAATAGACATGATGAAGCATGATTTGTATTGTAATATTATTATACTCAGCAACTTCCTTATTAACGAGTAAAATTCTTGCTTTTATTTATAGACTTATATTTAGTCTATGCATATCGTTCATATCAATATTTGTGCAAGTTTCAAGAATGATATAATCAGGAGTCACGAGAAGATATATAATATACCTATATATATATAGGCTATGGAATGCATGCAGGGAAAAGAAATTTGGTACTGAATCGCACTACCTGCAATTCTGGAAATTTTGCGAATGGAAATTATAAATGAAAAAAGAAATATAGAATTAAGGCAAATGATTCGATAGTATTATACGGGGCTTAATTCGCGGCGACGCAGTCATCAAAGCAAGTGCCTTTCATCTCGTGAATCGTGGATTCGATATTTCTCGTTTTCATATCAGAACTGAACGCTCTGCTCCGTTTTTTAGCTAATGTTGACAATGTGGATTAACGGATAATAATATAGCTATAGCTATAGCTATAGAAAATTCACCTCAGCTCGTGTTTAAATATATTGGATGCTATACCACAACTATCACCGCCAATAATTTTTTATATTATGGATCTCAACCAAGACCATGAAGGAACCCGCGGCTAATTTCCTTAAGCCATCTTAACCTTTATTGCATATCCTGCAAGGAGGACATGTCTACCATGACGAGCTATATTACCAATCAGTGATCTGGCTATTCCGTCGTCAAAGTGTGACATGCAGCTAAAAACGCTTTGAAAGCGATGTTGAAACAGTGCTGTATGCAGAAAAATTTATTTCCAGTTTAGATTAAATGGAATACAAAACGTTTGGACTAACGAAAATTTTGATCACTAAATCGAAAATCCTGGTTTATTTGGCCACATTTTCGAAAAACTTGGACCAGTCCAATCTGACTTTAAATAATGAAATTAAAGCGCGCCCTTAGATATGATCTACATATTATATATATTAAAGGAAATTAATAAGAACAAATGTCTGCGAAAAGCACAATTCACCCTATACGTCATTGCAATTATTGAGGAAATGGTGATTGGTGAAAGGATTTTGATAAATAGATTGCAATGATATATTTGCTAAGTGCCACCTTTACGACTTACGAGGGGGAAAACATTTGACAATAATGTAGTAACTGTGGGCACTTGTTACGTATATATTATGTTCCCGCTTGTCCCTAAAATTTAGTTTTTCGATTACAAACGGAGACCATTTGAAAATGTCCAAAATAACAAAAAAGAAGAGTTTAGTTTGGCAAAGCTGTGTTCCTTCAATCTCCGAGTTCTGAATTTGTATCCATACACTGACGCGTTTAAACTGTATATGAGTTATTATTAAAAAGAAGAAAAATTCTATAATTTTGGGGAAGTTTGGGAATTTTTAAGAGGATTGCGGTTTTGACAGATTTAAAAAATTGCAGACATTATGGAATTTTTTTCGCCTCAAGTTGGGCATGATTTTGACAAACAAGTTCATTGACGCTTACTATACCTGCTTCTGGCCTTAGTCCACGTACATAATGCTTGGCTGATTGATGCATGTCATTGTCTTAACTGCACGTCCAGGCTTCACCTTCGAGTTTTTGGTTGTTTGACATTAAAGAATCACTTTTGGAATGGCGGGAACATTTTTCGCTTTTCACAACAGAAACAAATTTCAAGCCTATACGTGATCCGGACTTAGTGAAGCCCTATCGCTATAGACGGCAGTATAGTATATAGACATTTTATTTGAACAGCCAAGATACGTAATTACAGAAAACCGTCGGCCCTTGATAAGATATTTACATTGATTAGGTTAACTGCAGGCCCACGCACTAGCTTAATACTGTATAAGTCTTTGGACGTATATCTTATTCAATAACGTTCTATCAATGTCAACGTACTTTTCACTCAGTTTTTAGTAACAATACATTTAATTCTACGAATCCTAATCCCATATTCCCCTACAGACCTCCACCAACTTCATACGGATAGTATGTAAATTATTTCTATAGGCGAAAATTTAACACTTATTAAGATTCTAGGAATCGCTTTGAAGAACCGATTATGTATTTATCGAGAAGTGGAAAAAAAGGAGTAAAGATACAGTTTAAACTCATTCTGAGTCACTCGGCATGTATGTCGGCTGACACATGCCTCCTAACCTAATCTTGTTTGTTTAAGATTTGAATCTGCAGACTATAGACATAGTTGATAAAAGCCAGGATGTTTATGGAAATTCAAACAATAATTCTTTAATGATTAAGTAATCAACCTTATACACTATTTCCCGTCCAAACTCCAAACTGTTAACATAAATCTTATAAATTAACCACAAAATACCAGATTACGCGTGAAATTTATCTGATATAGACGCAGAAAACATATGTTTGTTATTTGTATAAAATTGAATAATTTTTACTTTCTATGATCTGAAATATCACTAAATATTCATTTTATCATAACTCATGTGTTTACGTTTGGAGTGGTGCTGATTATGTTTGCTATTCTTTAACAATGTTTGCACAAAGGCGAACAGGCATATGGTGGAGGTTTCCTTTCCACTGCGGAAATTTTGTCAACCTCTACCCGACTGCCATATTCCATTCCAACCCGCGCAAAAACGTAGGAATATGGGTTTTTGTCAGGCTTTTTCCTCACCCTTCAACTATTAGTTTTATCGAGTGAGATATCCACTTTGGGGCTCTCAACAAGCTATAAGCAAACTCTATATGGTTTCCCGGGCAAGGTTTACCAATATATCTTGCATTGCCATTGGTATCACCTTAGTGAGTATAGAATACTTGTGGTCAATTAGTGCATGCTCAGCAATGTGAACACCATAATCGCCCATAGTTTTTTTTCGCAGCTGCTGGTCTTATAGCCTGTCTACACTCTAAATTTCCATCAATAAAAAACCACTTCAATAATTACTATAGGAGCGTTACTATCAAGTTATTCGATGCACATTGATGGGTTCAGATATACTGGATAATAGATATACCCATATTTTACAAATATTCACAATGATCATGCATATAATTATGAATATCTCGCATATCTCAGCTTAGTGACACAGTGTACCCGCTGGTTTGACATAACTTTTTTCATCATTCTTATTGTAATTCGATGCGATATTCCTACTGTATAGTTGCGATAAGTGAGACAGTGCTTGAGTAGAGTATTATATAAAATTACTATCGATATTAAACACCAAAATAACCAAAATTAGAATTCCAAGAATATCTATTTGTGTTTGTTATGTCTAAAATTGGGCTTATAGTCTAAAGCCTATATCATGTTTCGTGCATGCTTTTTGTTAACATAAGTTTCATGAATTCATGGCAATGCAAATGTTTTCTCATTGTTCGAAACAAAAACTTTCATTTATTTCTCTATCTGTCATCACACATAAATTTATTAATTTACTGCATGTATCTTTTTGGCTCAACTTCACTCTGTAGTGTAGTCTGTAAAATTTAAAATGCGCTGGCCATTCTGGCTCTTTTCTGAATAATTCACACACATGCGACTCATTTAAGTTATCTTAATGTATCAAAGTTGGTGTATCTTTTATCGTTATATAAATACATTTTTTGACCTTTTAGCTTAAAAGAAAAGTGGCTCAATTGTTTTGGACCAATTGTTGAAATTTCCGTCGATCTGATTATTTATACAGAGCCAACCATCAGCGGCGTTCACGCGTTCGTTTTCGATGACAGTAATCAAATCAACGCGTTTGTGTTACGTAGATAAAAGATTGAGACGATAGCGGATGCTAGGGTATCATCAGGGTCTCGAGTTCAGTATATAATCCCGTGCCACGCCAGTCTCTACCTGCACAAAATCAATCTTTCGAAGTTCCTGCTTTGATGACCATTTTTGGAAATTATTATGCATGCAAGCAAACGTTTACGTGTTATTTATAAAATAATAAACATTCACGTTTCTGTGAAATAAATAACCATTCGCATCGCTTATTAACAATTACAGTATATTTCTATATCCATTGCAAAACATCGCGTGCTAACTTTTGTTTGAAAGCACGGATTTTGAAAAAATGATATGAAAGATCGGACGCGTAGGACTGAGTGGAAATCCACCTTAATTAACACACTTCAATGATAATCGCACAAGCCGTGATCCTAGATGAATTGATTTATGCTATATTTAAGTGAAGTGTTTTTGTGTAGGTGTGCGTAATGTGGAAAGAAGTTTTGGTAAAAAAAAGTAATTTACCTTAATATGTTGAAATTTCACTATCACTGCATGAATGATCACAAAAATATTCGAATATTTCTGTTCCAAAGTTTCAAAACAGATATCCTAAGAAACATGCACTTTGCACGCACTAGAAAAAATGTCTTGTCGATAAATACCGCCATTACATGTTTGATGCCTTAACACGCGTCATGCCACAGTCAATTTGTCACTATGTCTTACTGTATATACAAACTGAATTCTTACGATAAGCCTTGAACCCTCTGCCTTGAACCTATTATATTCCAATAGACGCATGCTTTGAAACAAATGCGCATGTCCAGCAAATGAAGGAATTTATCCGCCAGGGAGATTGGAATTTTTTGCGCTATGTGTGCAGTTTTATTGGTTGACGCACGTAATTTAATCTGTGTAAATTGCTATCGGATACAACAGAAATAATTAATCAATTAAGTTTTGATTTTCCGTTCAACCCAACAAACCCGAGTCATATTCAATTCTGTATGCGGCGAGGGAATTCATGTATTTATCTTCGTTTATCGTATCAGTAGACCGTACATAGGATCGTATACCACGCGCTAAGGTTAGTTTTATGAATTTGTTATACAATGTGTATCTTAGGCCACATATGTTGTTTGTCTATTTGATGTGGCATTTGTTAATTTAGAGACTAGTCTAAACACAATAGCATTGCGCGTTAACCAAATAACATATCTATAAGAGTGGCAAATAAAGAATGTGCTTTAACAATACCGCCACAAACTAGTAGCAGGGAATTCTATTCAAACAAAATTGGGTTTTAAAGCAATAAACAACAAAAGCCGAAAATGAAGACATTTTGAAAACGTAAGATATGCACTATATCGAGACGTATATTTAAATGATAATAGTCGTATTACATATTCATTATTCTGTATAATTATACAGAATCATTATTCTGTAGTAGGGTCGAAACCAAACCATTCAAATTTACGTCTTGTTTTAGTCCATATTCTGGGTTTTCAAGACGTTTTCATTATTAGGGTTTAAAGGTTTGCGCATTTTAGATTCATATATACTGTATGTATTCAAGCGCGGAAGTATAAGCATCATCAGATTAAGCGTTTTTATATTTTTGAATTGTAAAACAAAACTTAGTCTTATATTCATTAATGTAGCTCCTCAAAGTTCAAATAGCGCAAAGAAAGAGATAACACTAACAGCAGTTTACTATAGCGTGCTTTATGTAAAACGCCACGCGTTTTATAATCCTATTGTGTTTACTTCGTGTATCAAACTGCGCATATTTTCAATTGAATATGTTCGCACCAGTATCATATTGTAATATCGCACTGTGAAATACGTTATTTATGGACTCTAGATAGTCTGCTCATATGCTGTTACTTAGCTATTTCACACTAGGCTAACTGCGCCTTGTGTGTATTTTCGCCATCAATCTTTGGCAGAATATATCGCATTTAAGACGCGGAAACCTAACAAAAACTTTCATTGCGTTCATGTACGTCATACAATCTAAACTAACTTGGGCATTTTGCTCTGACGCGAGAGCATTTATAACGTCAACGCGGATAGAGTGCTTTACTGTATTAACGCTAATAAATGCCAGAGTGTTTTACACAATCGTCTGGCCAAAAACCTGAAAATATGGATGTCTATCAGCTTACCCAGATAGTTTTGCCGTTTTAAAGTCTAGTACCGACTGAAGTCATTCTATGCCCATGGAGTGTACGTGCGTTTAAATCCTGACAAAATTAGCAAACTTATATCTCCTATCATTCAGACAAGCCCTAAAACGGAAATATGATATTGAAAATAACTTATCACAATGCAGACTATTGGAACTCTAAATTTGGAGATAAAAGATCCTCAGTTCACTTGTCTTTACAAGTGGAACATTAAAAGTATCACAATACGGATTAAAGCAACTGCGCGCTTTTCCAGAATTCTGATAAAAACATGAAACAGTAAGACATCTTCGAATTTTTTAAACTTGTGCGTAGATTTCTACTGTTGACAAACTGTTATCAAATATTTCATTGTTTATACAATGAATGGATACAAAATATTTGAAACATGATTAATTAAGTTTATAATTATCGATATAATTAATGATAATCTTCATTTTAGCATAAAGGAGACAAATACGATATATGCCCAGTCAAAAATAATGTTCTTTTCAGTCACTGTGGTATTTGCAAGTCACTAGGTCTGCTAGAAACCTTAAGGAATTTCCTGTGTGGTTTTGGTACGACAGGAGACTGACCAACTGAATGCCTAACCAGATTAAACACTGTTAGCTTGTTCCCTACAACTTTTTCTACTGTGCATGGTCTGAATTTATTACGTTTATTGTTTCAGACATATCTGTTGAACATTAAATAAATGAATACGCTTTTAGAAGGTTTGCGCATGAGAAAATGGTGTTAATGTCTTTTCAATTTGTAGACAAATGCATGTTTTTAATCATATCAAATATTTTCAAGTATTCGCCGAGTATTAGGCTTACAGGGAAAGTATTTGCATGATCTCTGTCCTAAAATAACACACATGAACAGTATTAGTCGAGAAATAGTTTTATATTTCATGCTGTATGTCGGCAAGTCCTATGGCTATGGATAGGATAATGTAATTTTGGGATTAAGACTGTTGGGTGTGTTTTTGTTTGTGAGTGAGTTTTAGGGTATATCGAACATTATGTTTTACGCTTACGAAGTCATAGTGTGACACCATTCACTTTGTATGTGCATTGGGCTGGGGTGAGTTATTGACAAGGATGTGCTACTTGCTGATTGTCGAAATTTTTCTAGTGTACTAAGGCTATGGCACTTAATTATAAGATTAATTATGCTATATATAAATGTGCGATTTTTGCTATATCTAATCCGGTGTAAAAGAATGGAAAGACACTTGTTTATTCGGTGATGGAACAATTTATCAATTCCACGAAGTCGAAGTTGCAGACAGCGTGATGAGATAAGATATTGGACTGTCTGTGCCAGTGTAGGCCAGTGTATGTAGGTAGTGCGAGTATTTATGAACAAGCTTTCGTTGGTAGAGATGCCCAACTGACAACTGCCTGCAATATAGAAGGAGAATTTCGACGTTTCGAGCGAAGGTCCCTCCAGACGAAGGGCCTTCGTTCAAAACGTGCATCCCTACCAACGATGAGATAAGAGCCTGGGTACGAGGTTCAACTTTAGTGTTTATATACTGTAGCTCATCAATGAATACTCTCGTGAATAAAGAGGAATAATTGAATTCTTTACTTTATGCTATGGAAAATAGTTCGAAAACGGACAATTATAGACTGAGGGGTTATTCACTTATTTCTCATTTAAGCGAATTAGTTTTTCTGTCATAGTTCCAAACACGAGCAACCCAGCATGTACGAAATTAAGTCCGCACGTCATCACACACGTTTTGTGTATGCCAAAACTCGTATTTCTATTGTCTTTCTTGGCTGGAAGCATGCGTCACACTGATTTCTGCTGTTGGGAATTGTTTTCATAAATGACTGGTTTTCAATAAAATTGAAATGTGGTATGTATACACATGGTCATGGTGTTTGTGCATTTGGGTTAGGGTCTATCCTCGTCTCCAGGGCCTCTCGGGGTCCTGGGATACACGGAACCAGAAGAGCAAGAAAACTTGCAGTAGTTTCTAAAGCGCATGCTCTTGGATTGGGGCGCTTTAGCACCCGTAACAATTTTCACAGTGAAGTATTATGAAGAAACGAAGTATTTGTGTCGACATATGTTGATAGGATAATTTTGCCTGGCGGAAAAAACTGCTCAACTTCTGCGAAATAGCAGTTCTAGCCAATCAGATCTCTCCCTTTAGTCGTCTAACCCAGAGCCTAATTTTCAACAAGTGACCGAGCTAGTGAAAATGGCTTGGGGACGAGAATGGTTGGGGTCACATGTGAGAATTCAACCGCCACTGCGTAAACTATGCTATTTGCTATTCCTGCAAAAGCAATCTCTACGAACTCAAAAACAATGACTACGATTTTATAGTTTATCCCACAAGTGTACTCCAATCCTAAGAATAACAACTATTCTTGGTCCAACATGATCATGTACATAATGAAAAGGCATTTGTTGTAATATTTGGGATGCTAACCCGCACTTCTATATTGAGTACTTCATCTGCACCCACAGCAGCCAACTTCTTACGGCCACTGTAGGGCAAGAAGGACGCTCCCTTAACTTGGAGAAAACGACAATATTACTTTGCAGTAGCACTGATAGTTTTAAGTCCTTTGGCTCAATACGACTAGGAGTGAAGATATGGTTTATGTTTGATTTGAAATTCAACCATGCAAGATGGTGTCCATTGCAGACCAGCAATTGATTGCCTGCCTGGTATATTACAATCACGTTGGGATCCATTCTACAGTCTTCTACTATAAACCGTCAATGCTTTTGGTCGAAACTAACTAAAGAAGTATAAATTAAAAACTACGGTGTTTCACTGAAGTGAAGGCTCTTCGAAAGTTACAATGACCAAAACTACGACAAATTTTTTGTCACTATGCATTGTGTTACGCGGTTGTTTATTTTTTATATATGGTTAAGATCATATAACTTCGTTTTTGACATTAATTAGACTTTTGATTCGCTATTAATTAAATTAATTTAATTTCCTTTTTCCTGCTGATAGACAGACATGTGATAAACATGGGACTTCGAGTTGACAAGTTAGTAAAATACATATAGTAATAATAGTATATCAAAACTACAAACAAGTCAATCTAAACATTTATATTTTAGCTTCAACTATACTTTCTATATCTGAATTGTCCCTGGATGCTTGAATGTTATTCTAGAAATAAAATTTACACTCATACTCGCATGGTCGCATAAAAAATAACAAGACTAACAAGCGTGGTGGGAAATGCACGAAGACGAAAGACCGACACGCTCTGTTCTCCCTTCCATATCCGCGCGCGCCTCACACGCGTGTTTTACGCCACCTGCACTGACCTATATGCAACTTGTTTCTGTTAAGTCACGACCAATCAGTTTACTGTGTTTTGAGTTTTGGCCGTGCATATAATTTAATATTTTATCAAATATGAACAACTACAATACAAAACTATTTACTTGGTGTTGGCGGTGTTGGCTCGGGTGTTGGCTTGCCACAAATCGATTTCTCTAATTTGACCTCTTTACAATAATTCACCCCCTCCTTTCCTTTATCTTCTCTCTTAACCCGTAAAAAACCCGGAGTTTGTGGAAATCTACCTGGCTTCATACACTGTACATGATCATACATGTAGTCCTGGATAAAGCCGATTTTCATTAGGCAGAACTTTGCGCGCGGAGCGGAATTTCTCTTTGTCTTTTCTAATTAGTTCCACCCGAGAAATCACAAGACAAAGAAAAATTCCGCTCCGCGCGCAAAATTCCGCCTAGTGGAAAACCGGCTTAACTGACATGAAGTTTCCGCAAAGTGCGCGCGCGGGGAGTTGATGGACCCATGACCAGTAGTGGGTGAAGCGTTTCAAAATCTTGTACGCCACTGTCTCGTTGACGATAGTTCGGAAATCTCAAAAGTTACCAAAAATCGCTTAAATTTTATGGAAATACAGTCAGTGCCGAAAGAGAAATACAATGCCAAAAAAAATATGTGGCAAGCGCCAAAGCAAAAAAAAAATAATTTACGTCAGTTTAATTTATTTTTTGTTCAAAGCGCCTGGGACGAGGCTGCCTTCGTAACTTTTCAGTGACTGATTACCTACTTATCCTAGACTGTTTGTGATATAACTTTCCTAACTAGTTTCTCCTAACCCACCTTGTCAACATTCGTGGGAGAAAATCGGAGAACCCGGAGAAAACCCACGTCAAAACGTCGACAAACTCTTCTCACACAAGTCTGTAGCGACGTGGTCGAAGACTGGAACAACGCGGAATGATGGACATATGGTATACCAGTGGGTTATGCTGGGTACCAAGGGATCGATCGATAACGCGCGGAGGCCTGGACGCGGATCAATGATGCGTCCGACTATCAATGAGGAGTCCGACTGTCAAAAAAAATTTGCGACGGCGCCACCAAAACCACTAAATATTATTCTAAAATAAGCGATAGTATGGTTTCTCGTGCAATTTGGAAAAACAACACGCGTGAGGCAAAACAGCAATTTGGAAAAACAAACACGTCCAATTTGATCGTCTTTGAAAAACTCACTCGTACATGTTTTCTTCCAAATTAGTGCAGTCGAAACCATACCTGAAGTCCTGAACATATCTTGACATTTTAGGTTAATGTTCCTGGAATTTGTTTTATATACTGTATATTATTAGCTTAATGTTTACAATGTAGTTTAATTGCCGCATTCCCAATATGTTTAGTTTGATCACATTATTTCATTCCAGGTCTTAAGCATTGCGCCATGAAGTACTTGGTGTTCGGATTTGCTGTTGTGCTGTGCGTGTTTTGCGCGCTCATCGATGCTCGTTATCTCTACAAAGATCGCGGTACGTGATACTTGAAATGCTTTAAGATATTTTCCAGAAAGGATCTTGCTGTTAGGGACGGGGCATTATATTTTTGTCGAGGGGTGGCACTAAACCTCGACTATCAATTAAAAAATAAATACCCACCTCTGGCCAAAATCTTTACAAAAGGATACCGTTACCATTTCTATGACATGAGTTTGATAAATGCTTGTGCAATTATCTGCAGTCTAAAGTTTCAAGTTGTCTGCACATACATGTACTTTAATTCTTTGGAGACATTTGCATCCTGACAAATCGAAAAATGATCAAGATAGTGACTCTGATTGATTTATACATAGGCGTACCGGGCGGGGGGGGGGCGTACCGCCCCCCCCCCACCAGTTTTTTGGGCAGTCAGGCAATATTCGATCAACAGTCGGGCAATTTTTGTTTGTAATAAAAATAAATGGGACAAATTGTGTCAATGTAGTCGAAAATTCAGTAAATTTTGTGGTAAATTTTGTGTAGTTTGGAAAATTTTTGTGATGTTCCGAAAAATTTTGGTATGTCCGGAAAATTTTTTTGACCCCTAAAATGGTACACTGACCGAAAATTTTTTGGCGACGGGGGGGGGTTAATCAGAACCTTAGCAAGAAAATTACACTAACTGCTTTTTGGCTACTTAATACAAGATTACTTTAAATATTCAAAGGAATTGACATTATTTCACTCTTTGGTAGCTGCTTTCCAGTTATGTGTTTTCAGAATTTCATTTACGCATTTTAATTACCTAAAAAACACATACTAAATCATAAAGACCACTAAATGTATTTAGGTTTGTTGCATGCTTGCGTGGTGAAATACTAAATAGATTTGTTGAAACAGAACGAATAAATTTTTTCGATCCGTATAAACCCGGATCATCATAAGTGTTCATGAATAACAATCCAAGATCAAGGGTCGAAAACTTTAGCAAACAAAAAATGAACGTAGTGTTTCACAAATCTAAAGACGCATGGAAATTGTGGAAATTGGGACTACGTTTTCATGTCTTAATTTATGTTTCGAAAATCTCTCCCTCCCCTTTTCCCCGCCGACAGGAATTTTGTTTCCTCCCGTACGCCTATGCACAAAATAAATCAATCCATGTACATGTATTCATGTGATTGTTGTATCGTGATTGGATTTAAGCTTTTCTGTGCGCATGATCCAAACAATGCGGCTCTTGAGTGAAATACCAAACTGAAGTTTATCTTGCTCTGTTTCTGTGTAGGAGAGTTAGGGAAACAATTTTGGGGCAAAAACCACACAGTGATGGATGGCGATAACCTGACTCTCCAATGCGGTTCCGAAATAAAGAAAGATCATCCAAAGTATAAAAAAGATCTGCATTACTGGTTCTGGGTAGTTGCGGACAGGCATCTTGGAACGAGAAAGTTTCCAGACGCAACTTTACTGAGGAAAGATGTGAAAAGAAATGTAGTGCGCAGACGTCCTTACGGTTTTAGGACTGTGCCGGAAAATATTCCCGGAACAATTGATATGAAACTTATAAATGTTAACAGATACGCTACTGGGAAGTATGTATGTGCTGTGGCAACGATTATCTCCAAGAAACCGAAAATAAATTATGTGGAAGGCACGTTCCAAAACGTCGTAGTAAAATGTAAGGGTCTACTTAACTTAACTTGGTGTTACAGGGATTATAGTGTACACTAGGGACCCACTTTGTCCAGTAGTTGGTTTATACTATCGAAGATTATTTAACGTTTACTAGAAAACCCCATCTGATTTAAAATCGTACAAATAGAACACAAAATTTCTTTCAGGAAATCTTGTCCAACATTGTGTGTATTAAATTAATATGCATTTAATTACCTGGTGTCATAAAACTGTATAAATTACTCAATTAAAAAACTCGTATGAAAATAATTCAACCTCTTCAAGTAAACCATTAATTTCGATGACTTTGGGGCCATTCACAAAGGATGTCCGAGCCAAGGGGGGGAGGAGGGTTTGGAAAATCAGGACAAACTCGGACATAGGGGGGGAGGGGGGGGTTAGCAATCCGGATGTCCGAAATTTTAAAAAATTCAAAAACAAATTTCTTTTTCCCTCTATTTTGAGCAGTCCTTCTCATTGTGAAATTGGCATTTTGACTCTGCGGTTAACACTAGATTTTGTTTTAATGAGTAATTTATATGTTTTTGTATTCACATTTATAGTTATAAAAAAGTTCTAAAAGTAAAAAAAGTTTTTTACTCTTGACATATACAAGGTTGTGTGAGTTTTTGCGAGGCATGGTGGATGTTCGGGGGGAGGGGGGTCACTAATTCGGACAATGCCGGACAAGGAGGGGAGGGGGGGGTCTGAAAATCTATCATTTGGCCGGACATCCTTTGTGAATGGCCCCTTTCCAGTTTAGCCAATCTAATAACTATTTATTGCACTTTTAACCTTAATGACCTATTGGTCTCGTTTCTGTGTTTGCGTGTTTTAGTATGGCAGGTGCACGAATATGTTTCCCTCTCATCTTGAGCCCAATCACAAATCTATCCTTAACTCTATTGTGCACGAAACATGAGGAAATAATCACATCAAAACGAAGCATCTATTGATGTTTACGATGTCACCCAGAAAATTCAGTATTGTCTATTATTAGAATTTCTGTGTAAATAGTAGACAGCCGATGTTTGATTAATTAAAGTATGTAGTGGTTAGAGTTTGTGTAGCAGGTTAAACATCTTTAATTTCAAAAAAACACAAGTTTAATTCAAAGGTCTGACAACCATGCAGCATTAAAGAATGGCCTTCTTATCATTGCTTTACTGATTCAATAGTTGTAACGTAACTTGCGTCTTAGATCCCTTTAAGCAACTCACAGTGTACTATGTACTATAAAAAGTACAATATCTAATGTAAATTAACCATAAGGTCTAACTGTGATTAAAGTGGAGAAGGAGGGAGTTATATCCCCCCCCCCCCCTCCTCAACTGTAACCTCGTTGCAATGGTTTTAAGTTATGGATTTTGGTCGTAGCTTCAGTTTTATTTATACTTGTATTCAGGTAAACCAAGAATCGAATCAACGATGAAAACGAAAATTCAGCTGGCTGCTGGCGATAAACTTACAGTGGATTGTATGTCTTCGGGATATCCTGTACCTGTTATTAAATGGCGTAGAGTAGACGGTCGACCGCTGCCCGTCAGAACTATCATACACAGCAAAGGCTTACTATCTATCCATGATGTTGGCCAACTTGATAGAGGGGGATATGAATGTATTTCCTCAAATATTTATGGCAATGATACAAGGATATTTTCAGTTAATATGACAGGTACTATTGCAGAAAATAGCGATATTTGTTCAGTATCGTACACAATCTGTCTCCAGTTTAACAGATACAGTGTGTCAGCCTAGACCTAAAGCCCTAATTTTACTCGGTAGGCGATGCATTATCTTCAGGTTGCTCGGCAGGAGGCCCTTGATTTACAGATTAATCGACTTGAAAGGACATGAAACAAAATTAGTCTAAAGAGAAATTAGAAGGCCTGGGTCAAGTCTGGATTGCCAAATGGTAAAATCCTGATATGTAATGGATGATTCAGCTATAGACTAAATTTTAATCTACGCAAGTAAAAAATCCATCACCACAGCTAGAAAGAGCATGTTAAAATTAGTAAAATTGCAAAGTTTGCTTGCGAAATGTTGTAAAATGAGGAAAATATAGTCCTATGAAATTTGCAAATTTTGTATTAATATTATGCACGGGAATTTGCACCACTTTCTGCCCAAATGTGGTGGATTTTCCCGTGTGTAATACAAATTAATGCAAAATTTGCAAATTTCGCAGGGCTATATTCTCCGCATTTTACAACATTTCGCGCCCAAACATTGCAATTTTACTAATTTTAACATGCACTTTCTAGCTGTGGTGATGGATTTTGTTCTTCATGCCTAGATCAAAATTTAATCCATAGCTGAAATTGCCCATTACCCACACACCTTACATTGGCATTAATACATGAACTTGTGGTTTAATTAAGAGCTCGTCAACTGGGGCCGCTTGTACGAAGGTCGGATAACGCTATCCACTGGATAGTGATTTTTTCAACCTTTGTAAAAATGCTTGAAAAACTGCGAAACTACGGATATAGACGAAGAAAAAAAGTATAAAAAAAATTAACTTATAAATACTAAACTTTAATATGAGTTATATAACAATCAACGACTAATTTAACAAAGTTTGAAAAAATCACTATCCGATGGTTAGCGCTATCCGGCCTTCGTACAACCGGCCCCTGGACTCTGTTGCTCAGTTGGTGGAGCGCTGCACCGAAATCGCAAGCTCGCAGTTAATTGCACTTCGGAACTTTACAACGAACATTCCGAATTTACAAGTAAACATTGGAAGTCAGTTTTGAAAAGCAAATTGAAATCGAGAGTAACCTTGTAACTAAAAATTTGATCTAGACAAGTCTAGACAAAAATTTCATCACAGCTTGAAAGAGCATCACAAATTTAGTAATATTCCAAAGTTTCGTTACGCAATGTTGTAAAATGCGGATAATATAGCCCTGCGAAGTTTGCCGTTTTTCAGTGGTTTTGTATTACAAACTGGAAATTGATACCCCGATTGGGTGTTGGGGTATCAATTTCCCGTTTGTAATACAAAATTACTGAAAATTGCAAATTTCGCAGGGCTATATTATCCGCATTTTACAACTTTTCGCAACGAAACGTCGGAATATTACTATTTTGTGACGCCCTTTCAAGCTGTGACGAAATTTTTGTCTAGATCAAAATTTTAGTTATAAGGTGTTAGGTCCATTGACTGCCACTATCGCTAACGCTGCCACTAAGGGACCAGCAACCTGCCATCAACCAATCAGATGCGTGTGATATGTCAGCTTAACCATTAACCAATCAGATAAACACAAAGCCAGTGATAGGTAGTGTTAGCAGTAGTGGAAGTCAAATCTGAATCTTCCTATTATCCCAAACGCTACTAGCCAATTAAAAAACACAATTTAACAAATATAAAACATTTTCCGTGTTGATATACAGTTGCTGTATATCAACACGAGTGGAAATTGGGAAAACGAGAAATTGTGTGGAAACACGACGCCCGGAGGCGGAGTGTTTTCGCACAATTTCGAGAAATTAAGAAAGAATTAAGAAAGAAATAAAGAAAGAAATTTTCCATGTTGACATTGAGTTATGTCAACATGGCTCTTAGCCAATCAGCATTCAAAATTTACAAATGATATATTACAATAGAAAGTAGTTTAACTTAACACTACAATAAAAGATTATAAAACTTTCCAAAGAAGCTAATTCGTTTACAGCCAACATAAATCTCCGAAAGTGAGAGTTGTATACACCAGGCCACCAATATTATTTTATTTTTTTCTTATGCAGTGCGGGCTAGAATTATGACAATGGAAAAATCTTACGCGACTATCAAAAGCGATGGAGCAGTAAAATGTGTCGCTGTTGGTATTCCTAGACCGAAATTCTCGTGGAAGTGGTATGAAGACGGTGTATATGATGAACATAAATTATCAAGCGAGGATGGACAATTTGGTAGATTTAAAGTGAAGACTGAACATTACTTTGAAAATAGTACAAGTTATTTGATGATAAAAAATGTTCGGAGTGTTGATTTTCGTGAATACGAATGTAGGCTAAAGGATGGTGATACGCAAAAAATACGTCTTGTTGGTTATTGTAAGTATTTTCAAACAATTCATGTTTCTTGTGGAAAACAATGCGTTTATTTATTTCGCAAAGCTTTTGCTCTGCTTGCCTCGATCTTCATCACGATCCTCTCTCCTCCGCAGAGGCGTTTTTTGCGGTTTTCAAGTTTTACACACGAGCTGTGCAAGTGTGGGAGATTCCATTATTTCCTTGATCCCTTAAAGGCTCCTATATAACCCGCATTTTTAATTAAACGCCTCTGTGGAGGAGAGAGATCACGATCTGTAAAGGCTCGCAGGAAACAATGCAAAATAAACTAGACGAGGTGCAGACTCGTCCACAGTCGTTATTTGAATTTAAATTTTATAGAGACGAATAGGTATATCCATATCTATAATCTATATATATATAAACTCTACGCGCCCACTCCTGGCCTTCGCTCTTTTCTTCACTTTTTTCTTTTCTTTTCTTCGCTCTTTTCTACACTTTGGCCCGCTCTTTTCTTCAGCCGCCTGAGAATTGCCTGAATATTGTTGAATCAGTACAAAAAAAGAAATGCTAATAAAGAGGAATTATAAAATAATATTATAAGATCTACAAGTATTTATATTTAAAAGTGACTGGGGACGAGTCTGGACGAGGCAAGGACCGGTGGGATTTTATTAACTAGAGTAAAGTTTCGAGACGTACGCACCGCATACGAACAGCATGCGCAAGAAGCCACCAAAACTTTAGGGCTCACTCAGGCACAGTATAGGGAAACAACAGTAGGGCCACTCAGCGTAAAAAAGTGTCCACATTGTTTACTGGCTGCCAACCTAATTGACATATTGGCAGCCAGTAAACGGCAGCAGCTCACTATAAAATTGTATTACAAAATAATGATTTTGGCAGCGTAAGACACCTGGGACCTAGCTTAAATAATTCCCACTTTTCTCTCCCCTCAATCTCGTTCCCCGAGCCTGCGATCCTCGGGAGGGAACGCGAAGCTCTGGGATAATCCGTTTCAGGGAGGAATCTGATTGGCCGTTGAAATTGCATGCGTAGTTCAATCTTAGCCAGAATTCCTGGCTTCCGGCAACGGATTATCCCAGAGCCTCGCATTCCTTCCCGAGGATCGCAGGCTCGGGGAACGAGATTGCTCTCCCCTAAGTGGCCCTACTGTTGTTTCCCTATACTGTGACTCAGGCTCACCTCAATAAACGCGCTGCTTTCCATACAAGCAAATCACTTAATCTATTTAAGTTTTTAGAACAAAGAAAGTTAATGTGGAAATTGAGCCATAGTATTGACTCTAATTACTCATGAGGTCGTTGTAAGCCCTTTCGACACACCGCTCTCCCGCTTTGCAAATTTGACCTCATTCGGCCCCCTTGGTTATTTCTACCTATAATCTGGTTCGTCACGAGTACTATTAAACCGTAATTGTACGAGCAACATCGCATGATTACTTGTTTATTATTAGCATGACAAAATTATACCTTTCCGCCATTTTGTTTGTTTTGGGAAAATCATTAATTGTAGTTGTACTGCAGTACAATTAATGAAATAATTGTACACCTCTCAGCCAATCAGCATCCAGTAATTTTGTCATGCTAATAATAAACTAGGAAATAGGTTAAATAACGAGGAAATAGGTTAAATAACGAGGAAAAAGTTAAAGTAACCAAGAAAATTAACCAGGGGCCGATTGTTCAAAGCTGGGTAGCTTAACCCTAGGTTAACCTAAAATTCAAAGCAAACGTCCTGACAGCATGTCTATAAATTTGGAAATATTTCTTGGATCGATAGGAGTTTACTTCTCTGAAGTTTTGAAATAAACAGACGTGTAGAAATACTCAAACTAAAACAGCAGGTTAAATTTTAATCCAGGGTTAGCGCTAACCCACAAAGGTACAACCGGCCCCAGGAGTATTAAGTTAACCCAAATAAGGTTTTTAGGCTAACCAGGATGTTTAATTAACCCGGAATTTTAAACAGACTGTTTTAGAGTGCCGCGTTAAATACAGTAACTCATTATTGATATTTAGCCAAACCTGATCGACCAATAATCCAAACGGTTGTATCCAGTAGCACGTCAATCACATTAAGTTGGAAAGTTGGGGACAACGATGGTGGAAGACCTGTCACGTCAATAATTATTGAATATTTACCATATAATGGAACTGAGTGGCAAAGTGATAAAATTTCAGCAGACTTACGTGCAAGGCACACTATCTATAAACTTAAATCTAACACGCAGTACACGTTACGAGTTGTTGCTGTCAATGAAATCGGTCCAAGTCAACCGAGTTCAAATCACTTGCAGAAAACTGATTTCAACACAGAAGGTATGGACATCACCAAACGAACTTCACAAAATTTGTGGCCAATTTTCGTTTGATTGATAACAATAACCTTGTGTATTATTTTTTATTGATAATAGTTGTAACGCCTAGTTTAAACAACAGAGATTCGATTAAAATTAAAGAGAAAGAACCCTTAAACATGATGGTGATGGTTGCTGGTGTGGCTGGAGGATTTCTTGTTCTCATCATTGCAATTGTCATTATGTGCATATTAATGAGAAACATACAGCGCAATAGTGCAAAGAAAGCGGCGGAGAATGCACAACGTATGGCAAAGAACGCAAAAGATGACACTGTAAGTATATGCTGTCCAATGACAGGTACTTGGGAGAGGGCAGGGGGACAATCCCCCCATTTCTCAAGGCCTTTGAATGGAAGCTAAATAGCTATGTAACAAAGCTGCAAACTAATTTAGTAATGTTTAAAACTAATTCCTAGTATTCCTTTACGCAATTTATCCATCGTTTCCGTGGTCTAAAACATATGTAGTTGTTTTCCATCTTCATTTTTGTGATTAGATCAATTTTTTATCTTGTCATATCACACCACGTTACCAGCCAAACCTCACCACCAATTATGATACAGTATCTCAGATTTAAAGAATTCTTTGTTTGCAATCACGTGACTTTTCATCCAAATGACGGGCGGCAATCAAACAACTTGTGAACGATTTTTTCTTATCAGAATGGTTGTAGAACGGTAATTCATCTTTTGAGTCTTAAACCATCTCTAAACTCGATCAATATATTAAAATAGCTGTTTTCTTGTTATACCAACCCGTCAACTGAAATTTTTGTTATACCTGCCCGTCAAAATTACGTCATTGCAAACCAAGAATTCAATAATTTTTATTTCATATGCGGAAAAGAATAGAATATATTATCACTTATTTACTGAGACGGAGGGCGGCGGTCGAGGGGCCACAAAACACACTGCTTTCCTGAGGTCTCAGTAAATAAGTGTTTTGTTATATAGTATATAAGTGTCAAAGTATGAATAATTCACCGGTTATTGGAGTTAACTTAATTTGAAACCAAAACTGGATAAATGGAAACGCCGTAAATGTTTAGTAAAAAGTTTAAAAAATGAACTTTGGAACTTCATGGCTGACACGCATGCGTATTGCACCCATTTTATTATTGACCGGTCAATAAATGTTTGATTGCGGACCGGTTGCCGAACATGACGTTTTGTGGACCGGCACGTGACACGGTTTTGACCAATCGGTAAACAGAAAAATTGAACTTTGACACTAACTATATAACAAGTAATTTTATGGTATGCCTTTTTGGCCAATGGAGAGTTCAGTTACATTCTACACGAATTCACAGCTTGTATTCCAGCACTGGCACCGAACATTCATTCAAGAGTTGGGTTTGGCTGCTTGTATTTTGGATAAGTATTGCTTTCAATAGAAAATATAGAAAAGAGTTTATTTTCCTGGTTACCTACCTGACGAATTTCTACCTTAAGTCACATTCCACCCATATCTTTCGTTTATAATATCGTTTAATTATTTCAATAATTAACATTGCAAGAAAGGATACTCAAGGTTAAGTTGATTACATGGATTGAAAACGCATGCCAAGCTATGTCGAAATATCTTATTCAGAAGTTCATGTAACATGTCAGCAACATTACAGTAGATATGTGATGATCACACCATTATATGGCCGCCACTTATACCAGATGCACTATTCAGTCGTAGTTGTGAAACCATTGGTTATTAATTTTCCAGACAGCGTTAATTAACTTCTCACCACATGTCGGAGACCGTTCATCGACTACTATTGGTTGTGGTGACATTCTCCACCTTACACCATCAACAACATCAAATAGATGGGAATTCTCGAGAGAAAGGCTTACACTTCAGAATGTTCTTGGTTCTGGGGCATTTGGTATCGTTATGAAGGCCGAAGCTGAGGGAATTAACGGAGATAATCCTGGTTCTACACCAGTTGCAGTGAAATTTGTAAAAGGTAAAAATGAAAATGTATAGGGTTTAGTTTCAGGATGGTTGTTTAGAGTTTTCGTAATTGATATATTAATTAAACACATTATTTGTATATTTCTAGAAAATGAAAGTGCTTCTGCAAAGAAAGATCTTATTGCTGAATTGGAGTTACTGAAGTTGATTGAACCTCACAAAAATGTTATTAATTTGTTGGGTTGTTGCACAAGATCAGGTAACCATATATCGCATACTGATTGATAATGCATGACGCGACTACCCAATGATTATGTCTTATATCACATGTTGATATAGATATCAGGTGAAGTTTTTGAAGCGTCTATAATGTGCCACAACATGTTGAAACGTCACTGACGCTGTGCACAAATCGTTTGAAATTTTGCTTTCTAATATTTCAAATGCAGTGAATGATGGATGATTATTTTACTATCCTAAATTTTATGTTAGAACAAGGACGACCAAATTAATCCTCTACCGTTTCAGAAATGACGTCTGACTCAATGTTCAATAGCAGCGATTTTGTCCTTGTCACTGCGAGTTTGACTTTCTTGCAACTATAGTTCATGCTTGAAATATCAGCATCCTGCTCGTGTTAAAGGGTTTTGTATACGGAAATCGTGGATGGAAATTCCGAGTGCAAATATTTTGCACATTTTTAGAACTAACTAGGAGCAGCTGCAAAAAATGCAACTTTTGGATTTCTGTCAGGAAAGAACAAAAATCTACAAAAACCTACACAACATTCATTCTTTAAACTACCCAGTAAGCTAGGTATTGTTTTGTCTGCACTCGAGCAAAGTGGTCTGTTAGCGCTCGATTACCGTATTAAAAATAATAAATTAATAATGTTTCTTTGCAGAACCTCTGATGGTGATCGTTGAGTTCTGTGCTTATGGCGACCTTCAAAGTTTTCTGCGAGCAAGTCGTGGTATAAGAGATCAGTATAACCTGGACTGCTATAAACGTCCTTCATCTCGATTAACCTCGAACGAATTACTCATGTTTGGTACACAAATTGCAAAAGGAATGGCTCATCTCGCCAGTTTGAAGGTACCCAAATTTAAAAACTAAAATCTAGTCCTGATTCAAAAATACCTGGAAAATACAGAGAAAAACAGCTGGTTGCCAAGACCGTTGAAGTTCAAAACCGTTGAAAAATTAGGTTTCAGATATTCAGTTCTACTTCCCCTCCCCCCCCCGACCCCCTATACGCCTATGCCGGCCGAATTAGGGTATTTCTACTTACCTTATTATAGGAAATTAACAATGCACTTTATTAACTCGACATGAATTAACGCGACATCAAATTAACGCGGATTGCTTCTAGGTCTTTTAAAACTTGATTATATTAACGCGAATCTGATCTCCATGGTTGACAAATTAATTAATTTATTAAAATTAAAATTAAGGCGGATTAAAATTAACGCGGATTAAAATTAACGCGAATCGGATAGTGAATAGCCTACGTCATAGACTCAAACAGTTTGAGTCTATGACGTAGGCTAGATAGTAAACTGAGTTGAGAGGAGCACTGATGTTTTTAGTTTACGTTAAGATGCTGTATTTTGATATTAGAAGAGTTCGTGTTACATAAAACAAATCAAGGTCTTTTTAACTAACGATAAATAAAAATTACATACTTAAAATTAACGATAACATAAATTAACATTAATTAAATTAACGCGAATTTTTAAAATCCGCGTTAATAAAGTGCATCGTTAATTTTCTATAATAAGGTATATTGCACTTTCATCAAGTTTCCAAACTGTATGAACTACTGTTTATTCTATTGTATTAACTATACGGCCTAGTATAACCTGCATTCCTTTCATTTTCAGGTTATCCACAGAGATTTGGCTGCAAGAAATATATTAGTTGATGAAAACAAAGTTTGCAAGGTTTCCGATTTTGGATTTGCAAGAGATATTTATGTTGAAGACCATTACACACGGAAGACAGCGGTAAGTTAAATGCAGACAGCTAGTTGGTTATAGATTCATGTTTCATTCTTTATATTCGTTAGGATTAGAAACAGCAACACATGGGGTCGTTACCATGTTGATATACAGTTATATCAACACGAGTGGAAATTGGGAAATCGAGAAATTGTGTGGAAACGCGACGCCTGGAGGGCGGGGCGTTTTCGCACAATTTCGAGGTTTACTGTAATTTAAGAACCTTATTGTGGACTTTCAGTATGATTTTTCATTCATCATGCGCTTCCATGAATTACCGGAATTCTAACGTTAGTTATACGTTGCATCATATAAAATATATGCTGTAATACCGTGTTGTTTCAGTGTTGCCAGAATCTAATTTTAGTTTCATATTAGGGCGGACGATTCCCAATCAAATGGATGGCAATCGAATCTTTACTTGATGGAATTTCTACAACAAAAAGCGATGTGTAAGTTATTCTGATTTTCTTGGCTTTACCATAATTCAAACTTTAATTACAGTAATATATTTCTCACGTTATATCTGCATGTTTCGCGCACAAAAATAACCGCCTGGACCTAAAGCCTTCTATTAATATTTCAGCACCTTTTAGGATCAAAAGACTGGGACCTAGGCAAATAGTCCATTAATCTGCAATCTCGTTCCCCGAGCCTGGTCTAGGCTGGCCGACGGGTAGGGTTGTGGTTGAATCGCCGAGAAAAATATTTTTGCGCGAAACTTTTTGCGCCCAGGATATGCAACCTATTTCTTTCTAAAGTTCTTTTCTGTCTTTGTGAACATTCACCTGTGGTTTTGAAATGTGCAGTATTTTGTACACTAAATTCTACATATAACTGATATGAGATCATGATCTACTATACATTTTAATATGCTTTAACAGGTTTAACTGACTAATATAGACTTCTCTTGTTTCTATAGTTGGTCGTTTGCAATTGTGTTGTGGGAAATTATCACACTTGGTAAGAAAAATTATTTTAGTTTTTTACAAAACCATTCATGTCGGTTGACGCAGTTTATTTAGAGCCGTTTATCGTTTCACTGGTGATCTAATTATATCAAGGTCTTTTATCATTTAACGGCATAACTGTATGATTGCGTGAATGTGTACATCTGTAACAAGATAAAACACTCCAAACCCAATATCTCAAATCACGAAAATGGGACTCTATAGCCAAGGCTGAGTATTTCCGGAAGGGTGTATACAAATTTTTGGATAACTGACACGTCACAGTATACATACAATCTTACACTATCACTGTATACCAATATTTTTGTTTCGGGAAGGTAAATGGCATGCCCAATATTTGTTATATTTTACAGGCGCATCCCCATATCCTGGAATGAACTCGCAAGAAGTCGTGAGCTTTTTGCAAAATGGAATGAGAATGGACAAACCAAAGCATTGCAGTGATGAATTGTAAGTTGATTATGTTGACAGGATTCTCTTACACTATATTTCAACCTTCTAGTCAACTTAGCATGTTCTATGAACACCTCCTATACAGGACAGGTGCGAATCTCCCATAAAAACCATGTACCATCACGTGACTTTCCTGGCAGAATTAAAGTTGAGGCGAATCGTGATTGGGTATATGTATATATTATTACTTAGCGCAAAACAGCGAAGTTGTTCAAATTAAGCAATTTATATTTAACTTTTTTCAGATACTCACAGCGAGCGCGCTTTGACAATGATTTAATGGAAAATCTTAACTATCTATTTAATCCACTATGGCATGCTGAGATGACACTTTTCTATAACAATATTTATATCATATAGTTTCTTTCAAAATCATGATCAGATCCTTAGGCATTTCAAAATCATGATGAGATCATTTAATATACCCCTTGATATTCATGCTTCGCCACACTTTATACCATGTCAAAGAGTCGCTGCCACTATATAGATGGTTTTAAAATGTTGAGCCTTGATAGACATTTTTCTGATCTCTTTGTTTATTGCGAACAGACAAACCATTTCATTTTCAGATTCGTGATTTCATTTTCAGATTCCAAGCTGAAAAGAGACGGGTGATTTTCATAAGAAATCCACAATAACTTCGGAACGGTAAAAGCAATCGAAAAATATTAATACCACTCTTCATTAACATTAAATGGACGAAATAAAACAATTTAGACATTTCTAGCTTGTCAAGTTTTCTCTGGACAGAACATTAGGTTCTGGTTCTGTAGTATACTTTAAAACCCAGTCATGGCTACTCGTTATAATTACAAATGCTCTGCGCGCCCTCCAGAGAAAATTTGACAAGCTAAAAATGTCTAAATTGTTTTATTTCGTCCATTTCGTCGATTGCTTTTACCGTTCCGAAGTTACTCGATTTGAATCTGAAAATAAAATGGTTTGTCTGTTCGTCTGCTTATTATATATTTAATATTCGTTCTCTTCCTTTACCTTCTTTCATTGTTTACATGATTCTCCATGAGGTAATTGCATGACTTACTACTCTTCATTACAGGTATAACCTTTTGTTGGATTGCTGGCAAGTTCCAACTCTTCGAAGACCAAACTTTGAAATGCTTGCTCGGTATTTGGATCGGATGTGCAATGATGAATTTGTAAGTTGAGGAAATAATACTTTTATAAAAAATATATTAATGATATTTATTCATATACTGCAAAACTTTCGTCCAGGTCTTTCTTTAGATTCCATAATTCTCATATGGATATGTCTTCCAACATTTAAATATTATTTCGACGTGGATTTCTATTCTGCTTCTTTCCAGCCCTTTTGCTCACGGTCAAATTACCGCTTTTGCGCATGCCCAGTCCATCGTGGAGTAACTCTATTCAAAGTTACATGGTACCCAGGGGGGAGGGGGGTGCTTTAAAGTTTAGGTCGGGGCCCCCTCTGTTTGCGACTCAAAGAAATATATATATATATTTACTCATTTTGTACACTAGAGTAGTAGTATAGGAACATAATACAGCTATATATTATATATGACTAAAACATTACTTGTTTACTTTATTTTAAAACAGGAATACATCAATATGCGAACATACGACGACCACCTGTACATTAATTTCGATGGCAACACAGTTTCCGAAGGCAGTAAGAGTGGTTCATTGATGAAACAAGACACGTTTGGCAGTAAAGACAATTCTGAAGAATCTGCTGGTGAAAAAGACTCAAATTAGTGCCATTGTTTAAATGCGATTTGACACTTGAAAAATATCTTATTAACCAGCATGAGAACATTGAATTCATTATATTAAATTGAAAACCGAAGATAACACGAGAAAGAGAGCTAAACCACACATTGAAGGAATTTTATTCCATATTATACAATTGGCGTGAAATCATCATTATATCCAACAAAAGCTGTACATTATACATGATTTCTATTTCATGAATTGGATTATTCATTAACTGAATTAGGTTCAGAAAGTAGTCACTGTAAATGACAATAGTGAATTTATGTTATGGGAAACGTATCACATATGTCCGCGCTACAGAAAAATAATTTAACGACTGCTAGGCATGCTTGCTGTAGAGGATCAGGGGAGTGCGCGAAATTGGAATGGAAATGGACAAAACAACATTAATTCTAGATCTATTCGGATAATTTATGTTAATTTCACATTTTACGTGAAGTTCACAGAAGACAAGATGAAGTTCTGTCATGGTTTTACAGGCGTTACACGGCAAAGCACGTGCACACTGGACACATATTTTATTTACCACTATTACATATTTTTTTATCGATTACGTCTTTTAATTGTATAATTCTGTCTTATGTCCACCGTATTCACTCGGAAAAAATGTGAAATCCATGCTATGAGATTTGCAATTGCACCACTAAATCCATAGTATATCCATACTATTTCGATACTATACCCACAATTATTATGGATAATCGTAAATCAAAAATCCATTCTATTTCCAATAAAGGTCCATACAATTTCCATTCTATGGATTTTCAAAATTTTTTCCAGTGATTGTGCATCGATGTGTATTTTACTGACATTTTTGTACAGAGTATATTAAATTGTTTGAAAACATTAAAAGATTTAAAAGTTCCATATTAAAGTAAACATGAAAACAACTTTTATATACGGTAGGAAATATTATTTCTCCCTCCATCACTATTTTAAAAGTATTCGTGACAGATCTGAAACAGGTGAAAAAACCTATTAATGAAATTTGAATATTTTAGCCCAATGAACAATTGTATATATAAGACATATAGTTGAACATGGCATATGAGTTCAATTAGTTGACCGTTTAGTAAATACTGCACTTGGTTGGCGACGACACAATATCAGATCTATTGAAAGATAAGTAGAAATTGCATGGGTGGGCATATAAATGCTCACGAAATTTCTTATGAATTGTCGATAAACATACATGATTATTCCTGTGCGCGGAAATAATAACCATTGTTATATAGCTAGTGTGAACACCAAACGTGATTGGCTGACTTGTGGTCACGTGACTTCAGATAAATGCAATGTTTCCCGCCGGGCAACAGGTGAAAAATTGTTGCCCGCCCCGGCCGGCCACGTACATAAATAAACAAAATGGAGGCACAACTCAGATAATTAGAAACTACGATTTTCCAAGTTTGTGTTCAAATAAAGAATATAAAAGAGAAGAAAAATACACAACAGGCAACAGGAAATGCTGCTGAAACCGTTTAAGTAGGTTCTTTTAATTTTAAACTCGTTTACACTATAGAGTTTTTGTCACGAAATACAATTGTTGTATGAATGTTGTTGAAGTTGATTTTTTTGTTTGTCGCTATATAACAAAACACTTAATGCCTGTTCCCTCGGGAAATAGTTAGTTTTGTTTTCCCTCGAATCTTAATTTTCGCTCGACTTCGTCTCGGGAAACATTGAGATTCTCGGGAAAACAAAACTAACTATTTCCCTCGGGAGTAGACATTAAGTGTATAATAAAACCCCTAAAAGGATCAGATATGTTTGGTTGAAAATTCAGGTAAAGCCTGCAGCACACGAGAGCTATCTGCTGAGCCAAAAGTTACTCGTGCCTGTTAGCTCAGCAGATAGCTCACCGATCAAACATGTTTGATACCTGAGAAAAGGTTGCATGAGGCAAAAAACTCAGTAAAATGTACGCGCACACGGTGAGCTATCGGCTGAGCTAACAGGCACGAGTAACTTTTTGCTCAGCAGATAGCTCTCGTGTGCTGCAGGCTTAACTATCGTGTCTGAAATCCGCGAAGAATTAGCATTGAATATAAGATTTAGGTGAAGTTCAGCATGACGTTCGCTGAACTGATTTGGGAAAAATTTTATGGTGACTTGCCCTTCCCCTCAACAATTGTGGGAAAGAAATGTTAATTAGTGGTTGAAAAGTTAGATATTTTCAGGTAAAATTATAAGCCAGGTATATTACCAGGAAGTTTTTTGTTTCTCC